AGTCTTATCTTCAGAACATACCCGGACAAATGCGGCCGTCTTTCTGGAATGATTTCCTTTCATTACTTTTCTTGTTTCCATTGCCAACCGGTTCACACTCTAGATTTGTCAATAAGTAAAACAGAAATGGTAATGAAATGATGGCTGATTCAGATTAACATCTTCCATAGAGATTTGGACATTAACTGCATACAAGCCAATGAGCACAAGCTAAGTGGGACCAAGACTGGTTAGCAATGAACACTGAAATGCCAAAGGGGTCCGAGGGCCTGACTCAATCTTGGCCTGAGCAAACATCTCCAAGAGCAAACATCTCCAAGAGGGTAAGAATAAAAGGCACCCACAGCGAGTTAGTCATGCCTATCAACCAGCATTATAAATGACCACCTTCTGGTTTAATGAATAGCCAGGGTTCACATACTCCATTTCCAGAAATCCCACACACTAAGCTTAAGATCTTAGTGATCTTAAGAGAAACGTCCAAGTCTGAGAGCAGACCATATAATTTAGCTATGCAATACTAACAATAACCATAAGAACAGTAATAATGGCAGCCACATCATCATTTACAGCATACTGGTGCTGTTCGAAGAGCTGTACATTCATTAACTCATTTAATCCTCACAACCCTACAAGGTGGGTACTATTACCTCTCCTGACTTACGCATGAAGTCTCTATCTTTAGGACTTAAGTTTACTAATGCTACATAACCCAATAACCGGAAAAAAAATATATAAAGAGGTTGCTCTCCTTGAATTTACATGAAGCAATTAAAGAACCTTACGAAATCTTTCAAGAGATATGAAAAGTTTGGACCTATGGTTCCCGAACTATGTACTGTGACACCCCAGGGTGTTACAGCAAACTCACAGGGCACCACATTTTTGGGGGGAAAACACAGCAATGCTCAATTGTTGAACATTGTGCAAAGCACTGGTGTGAGACAGCTCACGGATTCAACACCACGCTGCATTCCATTCCTTGCAGTGACGTCACATCTTTGCGAAACTGGGGTTTTGGCAGCTGCTGTGATAAAAAGTACTGTGCAAAAACAACCATTGTGGAACAGGAAATAAGGGGAGTGGTGTCCAAGATGATCCAAGGTTTGAGAAGTTGTTTGCCGCCCACTTGGTACACACACTTCATTAGTAAGTAATTATGGTTTAAAAATGAAGTGAAAATACAATTCTTTCAATTTACATATATTGTTGTTTCAAAGGGCTACCAAGTTGCTAGGGCATAAATACTTAAATTGTTTGAGCTTAACTTCTTAATAAACAAAACTGTTATTTCTTTCTTTTGGCCTGGGGGCACCATGAAAAGTTATTGAAAGGCATCATGATCCAAGGAAGTTGGGACGCTGGGTAGGTGCCAAGGGATTCTATCTAGGTTAGTATTTCCACAACTAAATAATCAGTGCAACTCACTTAACTCTCTGCTGCTGACATGCAGGAATCAGAATATGCAAATTTCAGAGAAAAAGAGGTCAATAAAAACCATCTAAAACCTTAAAGTTGTAGATATTATTAACCTCTGAGAAAACACTTTTCATACCTTGGGAACAGAAGCCATATGAGAATCCCAGATTAAAATCAGTGCATGGCATAAAGATGATCAATAAATATTTATTGAGAGAATGAATGAATGACCAAAAATACTTACATGAATCAACTGCACAAGAACAGGCTCCAGATTGCAAAACATCGACCTGGCCTCAACATAAAAACTTAGCTGTTGTTCAAAATCACGGCCAAAGGAAACCTAGAAGCAAGGAGCAAGATGCTGACAATGTTACCTCTAGGCCACTGGCAGCACACAATTGGGAAGGTTTTTCCTGAGCTTCATGTGGTGGGGAAGGTGCTATAATGACAAGTGGTTCAAAATCCCACAAATATGAAGGGGTGGAAATGTCAAGGGTGCAAACACACACATATACACACTGGAATACGCTCTAACTAGACTTTACAGTACTTCACGCAGCACATAGCTGAGAAATTACTATGACCACCCATGGGCACCGGAGTAGAACATAAAGAGACCAAAGGGTATAAAACACAATCTCAGAATGTAACCAGGATTTCCCAGGCTAGAACAAAACCACTGGGAAGGAAATAATGGAATCTTGTTTGTCAGCTGTGGCCTTTTCACAGAACATAAATTTGGTTATTGGGAGCCATTTGTCAGAGGATTTTCCTAATAAGAGCCACACCTTTCTGCTTCCTAGTGGGGATTCCAACCTCAGCAGCTCACTGGTGGCTGCCGGAGCCACAGATGGAAGTTTCTCCACCATTAAAAATCCCCTCTTCTCCTGTTTCTTCAAATTTATGAACAGCTGGTTAGTAGGACAAACTTTACTGCTACAGCAATCATTTTGGTCCAGAGGTGGTTTAACATTGCTATTTCCATTACAGCTATCAGGTTTCACATCTTATTCCCTCATATTCTTTTCCATGGTAACTCAGTGGCTTTCAGACAAAGCCATAAAAGGATAAATACCACACGATTGGCATATAAATCAAGGGCACAGGAGAGGCACCCAGTAAAAGCCATAGGGACATTTCCTAACCTGGGAATTGAAAGGCTAACCCTGAATTTTCATCAAAATTGGTCTTTTACCCACAGAGTCAGGTGGATAGTTAAATCGACCCCTGTTGTTGAACAAGTCACATTTTCAAGGTTATTTTCAAAGTGCTCTAGTTATTTTTATCTCGGTCAGCTTTTGTCTGACATTTCTATTAAAACAGAGGACCTGGGCAGCAGTTGGTATTTTAGCTTTGTGCACCAGGGCTGAAGGCAAAGGCTGTTCTGGGTAGGATGGCGTGGTGGGTTGTTCCCAAAGATGGCTGCAACAATCCCTCCTACTCTGCTCGTCCTCTTGCAGTGCCCCTGTGGACTCTTCCCATCTGGAGGCGCCGTCTACTTTCCCTCCCCTCCAAGGGGCTGGCCTGTGACTTGCTCTGACCAACAGAATGCAGCAGAACACAGCACTGGTCACTGTGTGAATGCTGAACCTCGGCCTCAAGAGGCCGTGCAGCTTCCATCCGTGCCCTCATCACGTGGGAGAGCTTAGCCAAGATGACTGGATGACGAGACAACAGTGGAGAGAAAGAAGTCACACAGACGAGAGTGAGCTGCCCAGCCAACAGCAGCACGAAGACTCCAGACACGTGAGCACGGCCGTCCTGGATCCTCTAGCCCCAACTGCCACGCCAATTAACATCACACGGAGCAGCCTGATTACACAGCCAACTCACAGAATTGTGAGAATTAAAACACTGTTATTTAAAGCCACTAAGGTTTAAGGTGAGTTGTTATTCAACATGGGTAACTAAGATGGATGGAGAGTGGACACTTGGCATTTTGCGCCCCAGTGTTGTTTCCACCATCACCTATGAACACCACATCCCAATCCACGTGATTCGGGTTGCCCAGATGTGCACATCTCCCTGGCCTGGCCAGTCGGTGTGTTTGTTCCCTCTCACAGCAGCAATTTGCTCAGGGATGGGCCGGTGACCCAAATTAATCCAAAGAGACTCAATCCCAGGACTTCTGCTGGAGCCCTTCCTGCTGGGCTGCAGAGCTGGAAGGAATGGAAACCTGGAGCTCCCGTGGGGAGTGAGCCTGCCTGAGAGGAAGCCAGGAGAGCAGAGCCACGAGCCAAGGACACACACACGGCAGGTCCTGGTGACACCACGGAGACCCTGAGTCCAGCTGCTCCTTTGGAGAGTTCCATCTCTGGACTTCTTGTTACATGAGTCAATAAGTACCCCTCCCACCCTCCCCTTTTTATTTTTTCCTTAAGCCAGTTTGTCTTGGCTCTCTTTGCCCCCAGGGGAGTGCTGGCTAATGTAAGATGTTTTCTAATTTCATCTTATCTCAATAAAAATGAAAAGCACCAGGGAACATAATGTTAACCACTTTCCCTCGAATAAGGACAAACAATTACATCACATTTCCAAGCGCACGGAAACTTCTTCTCCAATACTTACCATTTTTATAAATCCATTAATCAAATATGCCAGCATTCTTTTCTCATCCTCAAGAGTGAGTGCACTAAAATCAATAACGGTACATAATTAACACTGGGGTAAGAAATGAAAGTTTCTAAACAAAAAAAAAGATATAAGTAGTAAGCAATTTAACAAGTAAGAACATTTTGCGTTTTCTAGATTTAAAAAACTCTCAACAGGCTGTGTTTTTTTTGATGAAAATATGTGTTCTAAATTAACATAATTTCAATGTGTTTCATATCTCTCTCAAAGATACTGTTCTCAAGATATATTTATTAACAGCAAAAGAGAAGGTAACTTTCTCTTCTTGGGAATTTGGGTAGCAAGGTCTAACTTCAAATGTTTATTTCAGAGAACTTTTGTTCAACATAAAAAATTTCAAACACGCAGCAAAGAATTTTACAATGAACACCCATACACCCACCACCAAGACCCTACCATTATCATTTTACAATATTTGCTTCATCACATAACTATCCATTCCCCTCTCCATCCATCAATCCCTCTTATTTGGGGGAATGCATCTTAAAGTACATCACAGATCTCAGTGGCTCCTATTTAACAGCAAATTTAACGCAAATATAAATAAGAAAATGCCAAGTCCTTATAGTCTTGATTTTACACATGAAAGCCTATAAATAGTTCCTCAAATTTATTTATTTTAAGAGTCCAGAGAAAACAGAAACTTAAGTTTTTCTTTGTTGATTTGTTCTAGGGGAAAATAAGTATTGGCAAAGACTGTATACTGTCCTCCAATATGCAATGTCCCATTCATTCTTTGAGACTACATTTCCCAGCCTCCTTTGCAGCTAGGTGTGGCCATGTGACAGTTCTGGCCAATGGGATGTGCATGCAAGTGATATGTGAACCTTCCAAGTTATGTTCCTGAAAGAAAACTGCTGTCCTCCAATGCCTGCAGGCTGTGACATGGTCAAGGTAAGCCAGCTTCCTCCAGGAAGACAAGGACAACATCCCCGGGGGATGGCAGAGCAACAAGAGAGAAGGAACATGGTTTCGCGGATGATGTTCTAAAGCAGAGCTACCCTACCTCCACCTCTGGCCTCATACTTTTAGCAAGAGAGAAATAAACCCTCTATCTTACTTAAGCCAAAAACCAATATCCACCTGACGTGAGTGCCTTTCTGGATGTTTTTTGTGCCTTTATTTCTATTTTTTGTCCAACTAAAGCCTATCAGTTCCATTTATTATGAAAAGTCTTCATATTTTGATTTTTATAACTACCCATGAAGTTAAAAGCATGAAGTCATGAAAATAAAGATTCTAAAATTCAGAGGGGAAAAAAAAGAAAAGAAACACAATTCAATGTGTTGATGGTTAAGTTCCAAAACAATTTTCTCAATTCTTGTAACATTTTCCAGCGAATCAAGCTGCTGTGTTTAAAAATTCTTTGGGGACTAAAATTTCAGCCACAAGTAAGCAAGAATTGCCTGAAGCACAGTCAAATGGAAACATGTTTAAAAAAGAAAAAAAAAAACTAGAAAGCAAATGAGCGATAATTTGGCCTTTGACTCAAAGGTAAGGCCCGTGGATAGGTCTGAGACTCAAGTATACTCAACAAAATAAAGTCCTTCATGTAAAGAATATAAGCAATTGCATTTGAATTTCAAATAATTGGCTAATAATGAGAAAAAATTTAAAGGCTATGTTACTGGATGAGTGAACTCATTATTACACTGTATCTGCTGCTCTCAAATCTCTAGGAGACAGGGAGTTTGAGTTTGCTTGGATGAAATCAGCCTTTTTCTCCCAACAGAAATCCCTTTGTAAAAACATCTGCCATCTCATTTTCTTAGGAAGGTTACCCTCAGCCTCCCTCCTCTCCTGGACTGGAATGTCCTCATTAGCAAGAATCTTAATAGATCCCATAAAATAATATTATTCACAGTGACAGCTTAAAGCAGTAATTCTCTTATGTACTATTATGTGGTATTAAGACCCAATCCATGTTACGTCTCAGCATGGCTTACTTCACAGAGTCATGCATGGTCTTGCAAACGTGCAAAAGGGCGTTCAGAATGACGGGGTCCTTGGTAGGCTCTTGCTGATGCCTAGGAGATATTTAAAGATAAAAGCTATGTACACCGAGAGCAATGAAAGCATGGATTTAGTTCTCACCTACTGTACATATTTAAGAAGCAGTAAATTATCTGGTTGGCATTTAACATGGCCCAGTTCAGCAGCAATGGGCAACGTTCTGGTTTTCTTTTAATTTTTCTTTAAATAACAAGTTTGCTCTTCAACACATATTATAACTTCTCCTAATTGCAAAATCATGGTAAAAATTGCTACATTTCCTAAGCCAGGCAAAGAGCAAACCTGTTTTCTTATCATGTTTCTGGAACCTTCTCAAGCTGTCCACAACCTGTCTACAACTGTGTTAAGCGCCAGGCGAAATTATTAATTTGGTTTCTCAATATCAAAGGACAAGCTCTTTTAACAAATCTTTATGTAGGTAAAGTAGGTATAAACATATGGAATTTAAGAAGCATATGGAATTAATCTTTGAGAAAGATAACACAAGAAAAGCTTAAAATGTATATTCAAGCAACATCTAACTCAATTTTCCAAACTGTGGTTATTTGAGTTCCATCTTAACATTTTTTTTTTTACCATATCTACATACTTCATATTTAAAGTAACTTTAACTTTTCTTAAACTCAACCTGTCCTAAAAAATAATATACATGACATCACCGATTAAATAAACTAGTTATACATTATCTACTATACTTTAAAATAAATATACACTTTTAAAATAAAAATCTCCCCTCCATGTAACACCTAAATTCATTTCATGTACCACCAGCAGTAGGCAGTTTTGGGAGACACAGATTTAATCAATAAAGTGAAAGGAACTAAATTTGAAAACTGACCACAAATCTAAACATTGAGGATGGGAACCTCTCTAGCTCTGATATGCTGATAAGCAGGACTTTGTCTCTAAAATGTCACTCCCTAAGCAGTTCATCAATAGACCGCACCTTCCAAAAACACATCGGAGTAAAATGTAGATGATGGTCAGGCTACTGCTAACACTTATTACTTTGTCTTCTTAAGCACTAATTATAAACTTTTATCATGACTGCTCCTTTTAATGTGCTTTTTCTTTCAATGTTATTTTAGGTATGAAATATGCACACAACACTAGGCCTCAAAGTGCATAAATTGATTTCTTATCAACAGGTTTCACAAAGACATCAGAAATCGAAGCTTCCAATTGCCATGTGTTACTTGCTACTTACTTGATAAAAGCTTCCATGATGCATTTGCAAACATCCACCCGCACATTCTCCTTTTGGAACATGTCCAGAAATGGCAGAAATTTTTCCTAAAAATAAAAAAAAGCACTCTACGTTCAATTTACAGGAGTTATTGGAAGGAATTTGTGGGTCCCTTTTTCTCTGAAGGACAAAACGGAGGAAGAGCTGTTCAATTCCCTGAGGCAGGTCAGAGAAGGACCTGCCTGAAAGCAGGGAGAGGACCCTGTGGTTTTAAAAACAGTGACTATTAAAACCACTCACACGTGCCCCAGGGATCAGGGCTGGGCCCAGTTAACATTTTGGTGAACCACCTGGGCAACCTTTAGACGACCATAACCTTTTCTTCAGTCTTTTTACGACCGTATTTACAAGCAGAGAAAGAAGAGTCCGAATTGTTTCGAGTGTGGCCTCTGCTACATTTAGCGACTGTGTCATCTTAAGCAAGTTACTCTGCCTCTTCCAACATCAGTTGTCCCATCTGTAAAGTGGGAATAACAACTACCCCTACTTCCCAGCGGTGTTATGAAAAAGATATGAGGCACAGTGCTTGGAGTATGGCGAATGTCCAATAAATAATAGCTTCTATTATTAAATTAAAAAACAAAATCTTAGTCCTGTGAGTGTACATCAATGGGCACAGGGAGAGGGCAGGGTGCCAGGGAAGAAGGCCGCTAAGGGAAGGGGCAAGGATGTCACTCTACAGAGAAGCACCTAGGTTTGCACTTGCCCAGGGTGCCGCAGCAAACTCGAAGAGGCATCGCAGGATATCTTAAATTTTGAGGAAATATACAAATCTCAACTCTGTCAGACACTGAGACAACTTTTAACTCGATGTATTTCATAGTGTCAACATTAGATTGCATGACAAAAAGTATCACCTGAAAATCAGTGCGGAAGAGGAAATGAGGAAGAGCGTGTCCAGTTTGATTCCTGGGTTTGAGAAACTGTGTGGTGCCCAACAGGTGTACACATTCCATTAGTAAGTACTGAAGGAAATCAAGATCATATTTTCCTCCGGTCTATGTGTATTGCTTTTTCAAATGCCGCTTAAGTTGTTATGACCTAACTAACTTTATAACTACTTTATAAAAGGAACTGTTAAGAATTTCTTTTGGCCTAGGGCGCCGTGAAAAAAATTACTGAGACATTAAGGGAAGTCTGACTCAGATGCAAATTTCCAAAGATAATTAAGAAATGTTACTTACCACTGAGAAAAGAACTGAGAAATCATGGAAGTGGGCAATCACTTTCTTAATTATTGACTGAAGCTGCAAAACAAGACCAAAAACACATCTAGTTTAATAAAACTTGGATGTTTCAAAAAAAAAGGCAACTCTCTTTTATACTTGGCGATCACATTACAATAAGGGAAACCTGGACTGTTCAAGGAGCAGGACTTACTGGGTTAGGTTAGGGCCTGTCTCAGGCTGAGTTTGGCCATCGTATTCTGTGGTCTTGGTGAGACAACTTCTCAGCCTCCACTTCCTCTTCTGTAAAATGCAGAGCAAAGCAGTACCTCGCTCAGTGTGAGGACTAAATGGGATGGTTCAGGTCAAGTGCGTAGAGCAGTGCCTGCCCTTCAAAGCTCTCCATTAATGTCAGCTATGAATATTCAAGGGGTGGGCAAACGTTTTCTATAAAGAGCCATATAGTCATCACAACTACTCCTCTCTACTATAGCTCGAAAGCAGCCAGAGACATGTAAACAAATGGGTACGGCTGGGTTCCAATAAACTTTATTCACAAAAACAGGGGGTGTGCTATGTACGGCCAATGGACTTGAGTTTGCAGACCTCTACTCTAAGCCATAGAGGCCCCGTGTTTCTTGACGACACCAGTGGAGAGGCATTGGACAGAGTTTTCCGGTGGGGTCAAAGGCCACATCATTACCCGAGGATGGTGGCACAGTCTGTAAGGTGTGCCCCAGACGCCCAGGTACTGGTAGCCACCACCCCTCACCCTGAGACACACACAGTCCTGGCGACAGGGCCTTGGCATGAGAGAGAAGAACAAAGAGCTGCTTTTTCTAAATAAAATATAAACCCCTGTCCCTGGTTACTGTCAAGAAGAGAAAATTTACTAACAAATACTTTGTTTACGGTAAAAATATTGCTATTTAAATCCTTTGCAAAGGAAATCACTGATGTTCTAAAAATACAGACGATTAAGAGGTACAAACCCCATTTCATAATGAAGTAGCTTATTAGGTCAGTCAAGCAAAAGACTTAATAAAGGACTTCAAAATTTAATGACAAACAATGCTCCAAGGCAGAGCATTAAGATACTGCAATACTGTCTGGTTAAAATAGTTCCTGAAATCTCATTCATAGCAACCAATCCCTTTAGAACACGAAATTTTTTTAATACTTTAGTACAGCTACGCATAATGCATTTCTTGATTTAAAAACAGGTTTTGTTTTTTTCTTTCAACATTTCATTATGAAAATGCTAAAACATAAAGAAAATTCAAAGAATATAGAACAAACACCCAATTACTCACCACTTAGATTCTACAATGAGTAACATTTTACTACATCTGCTTTATCTCACCTTTCCTTCCGTCTAAGGGTAGAAGTTGTCAACACACAATCTACACACATTCTGAAATAATTTCCAACTTGCAGAAAAGTTGAAAGAACAGTACAGAGAACTCCCATATTCCCTTTACCCAAATTCCCCAATTTTTACTATTCTGCCAAATTTGCTTTATCATTCTCTTTACGTAACACATATTTTTTTTTCCCTGAACCATATGAGAGTGGATTGCATGTATCACGTCCCTCATTCTTTAATCCTTCATTTGTATTTCCTAAGAATAACCATATTCTCACATTCCCACTTTGCTGTTATCAAATTCAGGAAAGTGAACATTGATATAATCTTGATAGTTTTATCTAATCTATCATTCATATTCCAATCTTGTCAATTGTCTCAATATGTTCTCTATAATAAAGTATTATTGTTTCTTCTCTTCAGTCCAGGATCCAGTCCAGGAACATGAAATGCATTTCGTTTTCAGGTCTCTGTAGTCTGTGTTAATTTGGAAGAGTTCCTCTCTTTGTCATTAACGACAATGATGTTTTGAAAGAATACAGGCCAATTACTTTATAGAATGCTCCTCAATTTGGGCATGACTGATGTTTCTTCATGATTAGATTCCATCATGCCTTTTTTTGTTGTTGTTGAGGAAGAGTGGCCCTGAGCTAACATCTGTGCCAATCTTCCTCTATTTTATACGTGGGACACTGCCATGGCATGGCTTGATGAGCGGTGCGTAGGTCTGCGCCCAGGATCCGAACCCGTGAACCCTGGGCCGCTGAAGTGGAGCTCGCGAACTTAACCCCTACATAGCCTGGCCAGCCTCTCGTCACGTATTCTTGACTGGACCGCTGCCTAGATGACGCTGTGTCTTTCTTATGGTACCACATCAGCAGGGACACGATATCCACTTGCTCCTCATTGGTGATACGAATTTTGATTAGCCAGTCAATGACTGTCCAACTTCTCTACTGTACCGTCACTATTTTTCCCCTTGCAATTGATACTCATTCTACGGGAAGACCCTCTGAGATATGAAAACATCCTTCTCCTCATCAAACATCCCCCCTAGATTTAGCATCCATTGATGATTCTTGCCTGAAGACTGATAATTCTTGTCTTTACTGTGATGGCTGCAAATGGTGATTTTTCTTTTTCTTTTTTTTTGCTGAGGAAGATTCACCTAGAGCTAACATCTGTTGCCAGTCTTCCTCTATTTTGTATGTGGGTCACCACCACAGCACGGCCACTGACGAGTGGTATAGGTGTGCTCCTGGAAAGTGAACCTGGGCTGCCGAAGCAGAGCGCGCTGAACTTAACCACTAGGCCACCAGGACTGGCCCCTGATTTTTCAACTCTACTGTTTCCTCCACATTTCTCAATCAGCACCCCCTGCCCACCTTTCCCCTCATCTCTGTATTTCTCTACAGTAGTCCCCCCTTATCCATGGGAATACATTTCAAAACTCCCAGTGGATGCCTAAAATCATGGATAGTACCAAATCCTATATATACTGTTTTTCTTATACATACATATTTGAGGTGGGACAGCAAACTAGCACAAATTTCTTTTTCCTTCTTCACAATTTCATTATAGAAGATGTGTTCTTACTGTAGATCCTAACAACGTCTGCATACAATTTTTTTTCTTTCCTTATTAAGTCGAGAACTTTCACCTTTTCACTTAAAGGAAGCATTCTATGGCTTCTCTTTAGCATATCTGAATTGCCAGCATCACTACTCTTACGCTTTGGGGCCATTATTAAGTAAAATAAGGGTACCTTGAACACAAGCACTGCGATACCTCAACAGTTCATCTGATAACCGAGACGGCTACTAAGTGACTGATGAGTGGGTAGCGTATACAGTGTGGATACGCTGGACAAAGGGATGATTCATGTCCTGGGGTAGACAGAGCGCGACGGCAAGATTTCATCACACTACTCAGAACGGCATGCAATTTAAAACTTATGAATTGTTTATTTCTGGAATTTTCCATTTAATAGTTTCAGAGCATGGCTGACCGCAGGTAACTGAGACCACAGAAAGTGAAACCATGATGAGGGGGGACTACTGCATTCACCACAGGGATAGACTCTTGGATTCTACTTGACTCGATGGGTTATAACCCATTCCTGTCCTTACTTCTTTTGATGCTCAAATGGGGAGCTGGGGGGGCCCCTTCCAAGCTGCTCCCGTGCCCTTTGCACACGTCCCCCCATCAGTTTTTCAAGTACTTCCTTACTTTCTGGCACAAGCAAGGGTTCCAGGCTCACCTTGTACCTTCCCTATCCCAGACCTGGAATAAGCTATCTTCACAGTTTTATTTTTCTTCGTGTGGCCCTCACTTAAGACAAGGGGCTCACAACCGACATGGGTGGCCATCCTGAATGCAGGCTGACCTCAGGGCAGCTTCTGTAAGTTGCTCTTAGATATGACAGAATAATAGCACAGCACAATTTCTCCCTCTCTCTTAGGAATGGACTGCGTTAAAATCATTATTTTACTTAAAGTTTTCAATTAATTGGGTCCCCAGCAGGCAAGGTCTTACTGAAAATTCCTCAAGAAAAATTCTAATGCCCTTCAGTCTTCATATGTGCCCGAGACCTTGACAACCCACAGGGGGATCACCCATCCTCTATACACTGAACACTTCATTCACTCAATGATATTTACCAAGTGCCTGCTATACGACTATATATTGCTTTCATCACACCTAGAAAAATGTCCGATAGTCAGTGGTTGCTCAGTAAATTATAATGATGAACCATATTAATTGCGAAATGGTAAAAAATTCTTAAATTAGCAAAATGTAAGAATTCTAAAATTCTTACAAGAATATGTCACTAATTGTCTCATACGAAGTTAAGCTGGAAACTGATCATAGGCAATAAGTGTCAGAACATCATGTTATTAAATAAAAAATAAAATCCTAATCAGGTCAAAAGTCACTTTACAGTAGGTGACCCTGCGCTGGGTTCTGTACTGGAGGAAAAAACATCTGCTATTCAGGACATGACTGAGTCCACTGATGAAACGGGACCTGCACTGTGGGGTGGGTGACAGCAACGTATTAACGCCAAAGCCCCTTAAGTTGATAAATAAACTGTGATTATACAGGAGAACGTCCTTGTGCTTAGGAAATACTCACTGAATGCTTTCTCTGCAAAGTGCCATGATGTAGGCAATTTACCCTCAAATGATTTAGAAAAAATTTACATATGTATGCATGCATATATATGTGTGTGTCTGTGTACACATAATGATAATGATGAAGCAAACGTGGAAAATGTTAACAGTCGGTGAATCTGGGTAAAGAATAATGGGAGTTCTCTGAGCCATCTTTCAATTTTCCAACAAGCTTGAATTTATTTCCAATAAAAAGCTGATTTAACTGAAAAACACAGGCACTTTATTTACTGGTGTCAATCAAGCACCTGTGCCAGGGCTGCCCACGTCACATCTCACTGAATCCTCACAACCACTCTGAAAGGAGGACTATTAGTATCCCCATTTTACAGGTGAGGAAACTGAGGCACAACAAGACTGAGGCACACGGCTAGGATACGGCAAAGCTGAGATTCAAACCCAGGATTACCCAACTTCATGGCCTGACCCACGCAACACGCCAATTTAATTCACAGAACCAAATTCCTAAGAGTGTGGAAATGAGAAGAACAGTCTGTCACCTGAGGGTAGGAGTCTTCAAAGGCTCGATCTGGAGTCATGTGCTTGATGACATCAGCCAAGACGGTGTTCACTTCTCGCTTCTAAGTGGGGAAAAGAAACGAAATCAGTACTGGACACTGAATGCCAGTTGCTGGCCATTTTTCTGGGGAAAAGGACTAACATTTTCAGAATACAGCACACAGCTTCTAGGAAATAGTTTCAAATATTCTGCTGAAAATAATATAAGGGGATAAATTCCACCCACATCACAGCCCTAAAGGTGGCTATGTCTGCACCAAGTCAGGACTAAAACTGTTCTTAAAGGTTCTGGAGTGTTACACTGCCCTGCTTTCCCCAGTGCTGGTAAAATTGGCCATGCCACTTTCTGCCCGCCTGTCCCAGGCCCTCCCCAGGCACTGCAGTGAGCAGCCAGGCACCCAGGGAAGAGCACAGACTAAGCCACGTGACCCAATGCCCACTTCACTTTTGTCCTCTGTATCAGGGGTCAGCCAACCACAGACCTAATCTAGCCCAGTGCCTGTTTTTATACAGCCTGCGAGCTAAGAATGCTTTTACACTCAAACCAAAAGAAGAATAGCATTTCGTGACAATGAAAATTATACAAGATTCAAATTTCCGTGTGCATAAACAAAGTTTATTAAACACAGCCGTGCTCACTCACGTATTATCAGTGGCTGCCTTCATGCTACAATGGCAGAGTTGGATACTTGTGACAGAGATCACATGGTCCACAAAGCCTCAAATATTTCCTATCTAGCCTCTACAGAAAAAGCATACTGACCCCTGCTCCATATAACAAGAACAGCGAAGCCTCTGGCAAGGTTGCTAAACGGCTGCGCATATAGGTAAAGTGTCAGGCTCACAGCACTTTATCTAAACAGTTGCCATTACATTTAGTCTCTCATTTAATGCTCATTAAACTCCCCAGCATGGCCATCATTATCCCCATATTACAGATGAGGAAGAGGAGGCTCAGAGAAGTTAAGTGACCTACCCAGGGTCACATAGCTAAAAAAGAAAATCTGACAACAGCACTAAAAGAACCAAAGTTCCTCAGAGAAAGAGCTGATTCCGAATCTGGGAACAGAAATATGCAAAGGAGGCTGGAAGATCTTACAACAGAAAGCAAGGAAGGCACCAAAGACTATGGAGAGCATGTCAGAAGGACGCAGGAGCCAATCTGAAAAAGCACCCACGGGACAAGGACGGGACAACTGAGCATCAGTAAGAATAATGTACTTCAAATATGATTAAAACCATGGATTCCTAAAGACACCAACAGCAACTAGTACTCACTGGGCACCACTGGGGATGCTGTGGAATCAAATCCTTATTCTAAAAACTAGTAAATAACAGGGATAAAAATGAGCACCAATCCTGCCTTTTCTGTACAAACTGTGCCTCAGGGTAACCAAATGCCTGACGACAGGAGTTTCTCCTTATCAAGTACCCCAGCTCACAACTAATGAAGATACGATAATAACTCCAAATGTCACCATTTTGCAACCTCTGATAAACCGTGAGATGCAATGAGATTCAGTGGCTGCTCGTGTTATAGAGGGACAACCAGATACCATGAGCCTCCCAGGAGAAGCACCATACACCACCCCCGGTGCCAAAAAATCAAATCTGAAGCTGATTAAGTCTCCAGAACTAACTGCCAATTTACAGGAAACACTGAAGGCAGAATGAGCATGTTGAGCACCATCAAAGGGATGTGATGGGCCAAGCCAGATTGGGAAACTCTACAGAACAAATGACCCAATTTCTTCAACAAATAAGTTACAGAGAAAAAAAAGGAAGGAGGGAGGAAAAGAGAGAGATGCAGAGAGAATTTACAGATTAAAAGAATCCGTAGAAGTCTATTTCCATGTCTTTTTAAATCCTGATTGAACAAATAAACTGCAAAAAAGAAAATTACAAGATAATTGAGGAAATCTGAACATTGATTTTTAAAGATATTAAAGTGTTATTAATTTTTTAAGTTAGGATAATGTACTGGGATTTTGTTTATATATAAGAAAAGGGAGTTCTTATATTCTACAGATATGTGCTGAAATACTGACATACGAAATAACATGTCTGAGATTTGCTTCAAAATAATCCAGGGGTGGAATGAAGGGGTAAGGACATAAATGAAACAAGATTTGCCATAAGTTGATCATTTCTGAGTGGTGAGTACAAGGGAGATCATATGTTTGAAATTTCCATAATAAAATAAAAAACAAAAATTGGACAAAAGAAACAAAATCAACAAGCCAACATTTACATAACGCTCAAAACGAGGCAAAATCAATTTCTGGAGTTAGAGGCCAGGATGGTGGTGACCTTCAACTTCCAAAGGCTGGGGGCTGTGACGGGGAGGGGAGTGCAGGGGGCTTCAGGGCGGGAGGGGGAAGTTATTTCCTATTTCTTGATCTGGACCATGATGACACACATGTACTTCGTGAAGATTCATTAAACAGTACAGATATGATATAAGCACTTTTCTGCCTATATGCTATACTTCAGTTTTTAAAAGTTAATTAAAATAAGCACTCTGGCACTAGGATTTGAATTCAGTTCTACCTGCTTCTAAGTCTCTGCTGTCTGACATGCCCAGTATTTCCCAAACTGGGGTTCTAGTCTGGGCCTAGGGAAGAAGTGTCTTTGTTTACTTAGAAAAAAATTACATGCAAGTCAAATACATTTGGGAAATGCTGCTTACTAGAACCCCATGGGAAGTCACAACGCACTTTAGCATATAAACATCTAAGGTGTCCTATGGTGAAAAAACTGCTTGATTTTGTATAGTGCAGCATTTCCCAAATTTACAAGTGAGTGTGGAATGCTTTTATTATAGTATACATATTAATGCTCCACCACACTAAATTATAAAGGATGCAATTTTTATAAATTAAGAACAATTACCATTGTAAAATGCCTAAGTTAGACTTATTCACTATTATAAACATAAAAAAATATATAAATCTTTCAAAAACAATAGCCACACATACCGTGAAATGCTGGCAGGTGTACTCTACCCACACTTCGGCACAATTAATGTAGTCCTACAAAGAAAAGTAAAAATGTCTTTACCATAAGAACACCACAATTGACCTTACGGCAAAAGCTCATGGACAAATCCCTTCAACGGCGGTGACCATTCAGAGTTGACAAGTGATAGGAATTTCAAGGCGGTTCATCTACAGAAAACCTGGCCCGCTGATATATTTTACCATGAGAGGTGAGTTACAAAAAAACATAGGTTGCCTGAAACTAATTAGACTTTCATTCCAGAATTGCTACTTGGCCAAGATAGAAATCTGGGAAGCTCTGCCATGCTTGGAGAAGGGGATGGATCAAAGGGAAGCAGAGATGACAGCGGGGAGTCCTTGCCACATATCAGCAGAGACACTGACAAGAGACCCGGCTGAAGACGAGCTTTGCTTATAATGTGATTTGCATGTCCTGAGGAAAAACAGGCTTCCTGCCTTTAAAAAGGAAACCATTTGTCCTATAGATGGGTGATGTATAGATGTTGTAAAAAGGTTAAGAAAGCACTGGAGGAAAAAAAAGAAAGCACTGAAGATTTTGGGTAAGAAATGATGTGTTAGGTTAAAGTAGGAGGGGGACCCTTGGAGAGACAATGAGATGGCTACGGAAATGACAATGACCAACTTACTAAGGCTGCCTGCCCAGGAAAACACTCAATTGGGAAAAAAATGGTCAAGGAAAAATAGAGTCTGCAAGTTTACCTCTTCTGACACTTCAAGGAAAAGAGAGAAGAAACGGGGAGGGAAGAAAACAATTATCTCATTCACACAAGAAAAGCCAGGAACATTCTAAGTTCTAACTGGAATGCTAAGAAGGTGAACTTAACGAGGTGAGTGTGAAGCTCAAGATGGAGAAAACTGTTAATACGGGCTTTCGATGCAAGGCTGAAGTACAAGCACCATGGGCCCAGAGGCTCCTGACTTAAATGTCCTAAATAAGCTGTGTTAGTTAGCCAATCAGAGTTAGGTTAAATAGAGAATTTCAACAGCTGGAGTTTAGTGAGGATTTTGCTGAACTTAACCTAGGTATATGATTTTGTACATATGTTTCTAATTTTTCTAAATTACACCACTGTTCTTAATATACTCTCATAAATGTGATTGGCAAGGGGTTTATAACTGAGATCACTTTAATATTTCCTTCTCCATAAATAATTGTATCAAATGCTACATATCCATATTCAGTTATTTGCTGTGTTATAAACTGAACGTTTGTGTCCCCCCCCAAAATGCATATATTGAAATCCTAGCCCCTAGTGTGATGGTATGAGGAGGTGAGGCCTTGGGGAGGTGATTAGGACATGGGGGTGGAGCCCTCACGAATGGGATTACTGCCCTTATAAAGAGACCCTAGACAGCTCTCCCACCTTCTCCGCCATGTGAGAACACGAGAAAACAGCTGTCTGCAACCCAGAAGAGGGCCTCACCAGAACCCAACCATGCTGGCACCCTGGTCTCAGACTTCCAGCCTCCAGAACTGTCAGAAATACATGTTTGTTGTTTATAAGCCAGGCAGTCTGTAGTATTCTGTTACAGCAGCCCGAATGGACTAACACATGCTGCTAGTAGGCGAGGAACCGTGCAGGGTATGGCGAAGTTTGCCCAGCTGGTCCTGCAGTCACAAAGCCAGCCAACACCATTCACCTAGCGGCCGCCACATAAATTGTGGGCATGTTGCCTACAGGGACAGTGAGGCATGAAACCCAAACCTACAATATGACAGCCATCACTGCATGCATTATGGCAACTAACATCAGCTGGCCCATTTTCCCAAGACTTGCCCCTGAAGTATGGGGAGAAAGAGGCTTCAGCTATCTCCCTCCAAGGGACAGAAATTGGAATTCCCTTTTGCTGATTACTGGCTTGACTACTCATCTCCAATTTAGGAATATCCTATTAAATTGGTGTTTTCAAATCCAAATACTATAGACTGTTACATTTTGGATGCTCTTTGCAAAGTTACAGGTCTTTTAAAGTTTCAAATATCTGTAATTTTAGTTTTGGTGCATCTTAAGGCCTCGAGAATGAGACATAATTGGGATACAAAATCAAAGAAACAGATGTTTAAAGCTATCAGTTCTCCATTATAGGTTAAGAAATAATACAATGAAAAGAAGTAGATTTCTTAAAAAACAACAAACAGAGGTATGATTAATGAAAAGATATTTTTTTTAAAAGAAAAGCAGTTGATCTAAGGTATAAATGATCACCCACCTGTGGATTCTTCAATTTAGTGATAACTTTCCAAGCTTCATTGAGAATCTGAAGTCGATCACCCTCAGGAGGGTTAGCCAAGGCCAAGTTTAACCCCAGTGAACGAAAAAGGAGATGCTAAAAAAAATATCAAACCATCATGATACTGGAGATTTTAAATCACAGTAACTTGAGGCTTAAAAGAAAGGCTGTAACATTTTGTTGGTCTCAGGGTTAATCTTCCAACAGCCTCTTTCTGAAGTTCTACCACTAACCTATCCAAATTACCCTGAGAAGGTCAAAATAAAGAGCTGTCTCCACAGATTGGTCTAATTTGTGGGTCATAATATTCTGATGGACAAAGCTGTTCACAAATAATGAGTGAAGGTTTATTTTTAAAGCTGTAAGACCAAAGTCTTTCCTAAATACTTCATAGTGAGCTAACTCGACAGATTCAGGACTCACAGAGGCCTGACTCGCAGCCATTACATGTGTCTGACAACCCTACTCGCTACCTCACCTTCCATCGTGTTCTTCAGAAACAGAGCCTTCACCTGTTTTCCTGTTGGCCCAAGCCGCCCCAACACCGGACTCTCTCCCTTGAGGGCTATCGTGTAAACACTGCCTGTTTTTTCTCCCTCTGAGCTTTTGGTCAGGAGCCTACCTTGGGGAAACCGGACTCATCACACTCTTTAATCATGCCGATGAAATCCATGGACCTCGTGGCAATGAACTCGGCCCGGAAAGCTGACATCACGGAATTCAACAGCAAGGCACTGCAAGACACACACCCCCCCCAAGTTAGCAGAGCTTCCCCTTAATGACAGTCGCTTTAATTTTAGGATGCATGTTGCTGGTAAGGATGACTGATAGCCCTTTAATGGTAAGGTTGGGAAAAAAAAAGCCTGGAGTAAAAAGGCAACCTCTAAAGACTAACACTGTTTTGTGCATATTTGAAACTTGACAAATGCTGAAATGACTGGATGGATGCGTGGATGGATAGCTGGCTGATCGGTAAACAAGCAATCAGATCCACTTACAGAGAAGTAAACTGAGCCTTCAATAGGCTGGTGCACTAATAAAACTCAACTTAAGTAACAATATTGATCCAACCTACAAATATACATGCACATCTCGAAAGCACTGTTCGAGGACCTAGGGACACAGTGACTTAGGGACATCTGCCACTGAAAGGAGAGCAGAGGGAAACCTCACATGCCTGGAAGACAGGAAGATGGAGTTCATCCTGACCCTACCACCTATCATGGCCCTATGGGGAAAGGACTATTATTAAAACCATTTTACAGATGAGTAGACTGAGGCACAGAGAGGTCAAGCAAGTGACCCAAGTTGACAAAGCTAAGAAAGAGAAGAGCCAGGCATCCAAAGCCAGGCAATCCGACTCTCATTTCCTGGGCTCCATGCTATCTTCCCCGCCTCTCTGTCGGCCCTCTTGCCCACGTAAGCACCAACCTCAAAAAAACCAACTCCATTTTCAAACTCATGCTCTATGAATTTTGAAACACTTACTTGTTACCTAGTTTCTTGCATCTCTCCATCATCTCGGTTAGCAGAGTCTAATAAGTTAAAAAAGTAATAATAAAAATCAGCAAGTTAGAGAACATAAAGCAACATTTCTCACGAAGAGATCTCCAAAATAATACTCTAAAATAAATGCAGCCACATGCCCATTTCCATAATTTCTCAGTTCTTGGCAGAGATGGGGAAGGAGGACAGAAAAACAATTCACTTTTGTGGCATTTAGCATAATGATAAGAGCTGGGGCCCTGGCATCAGGGCTCAAATCCAGTCTCATCAGCCACCAACAGTGAGACCTCGGGCCGGTCGCCCAACCTCATTAAGCCTGGGTTTCCTCATCCTTAGGCAGCGGTTACGAGTGGTACCATCCCCAGCTGTAGGGTTACTACAGGATGATGAGAGCGGTACCTCCTGTGCTATAGGGCATCGATGAGCATGGAAATTACTTTACTGCCCACCTCGCTTACCAGCCCCCCTTCCTCCTCATTTCATGAGGTGCCCGTGGAAGTCACAGTAAAACAAACACCAGGCCAGTGCCTGCATCCACCAGCCACGGTGAGAAGCCCTCTGCACTCATGACCTCACCTCTCAGAACCACCCACGAGGCAGGCTCTCTATTCTCCCAGTGCACAGATGAGAGATCAAGCCACGGAACAGTGACGCACTCGGCCCAAGGTGACACAGCCAGCTACCGTGCGCCAGACTTGACCCAGGCCGTCTGGCATCAAAGGCCATGCTCTTCACCACAGTTCCTTTCCACGAATTTTGAAGCATGTTTTTTTCCCCAAAGGAAGTAAATGCTTTACTCATTGGAATACTGTTAATGGATTTAGAGCTATCTTAAGACAATTACATATCCTTTAAAGAGCTCCTGTTTTTTAAAAATCAATGGAAGAAGAATCCTTTAGGGCAGTGGTTTGGAGAAGGTTTTGAGGGCACAGACAAGGTCAACCCTAGGACTAACGAGCGGATCACAGCAGCCTGGACCCCGAGCACTTCCCTCACCCCAGGCGCTGGGCAAAGCGCCCTACACACTGTTCCTTATTGACTCTTCACAATCGCCTGTGAGGCCTGTGTAAACTATCCCCACTTTACAGACCAGGAAGCCAAAGCTCAGACAGGTTAAGCCACTTCCTAGTAAGTGGTGGAAATGCGATTTGTATCTTAGCCTGGCCCCAAAGTCAAAAAATAAAATGTCTCCTTTAGCGCAATTCCACCCCTTCCAGCTGTGTCCCTCTGTGGCTTAGGTGCTGCCTGAATAATTCAAGTGACAGCTGACTGTGGAGATACTGTCGGTACTCCACCCCCAGAACCCCGATTTTATTCAGATTTCTGTCTCCGCCCAACAAAAATCAGGCTGAGTCCTGTTATGGACTAAATTATGACCCCCTCCAGATTCATATGTTGAAGCCCTAACCCCAGTCTGACTGCGTTTGGAGATAGGGCTTTTAAGGAGGTAATGAATGTTAAGTGAGGTCAAAAGAGTGTGACCATAATCCAGTAGGGCTGGTGTCCTTATAAGAAGAGAAAGAGAGACCAGGAACACAAGCACAGAGAAAAGACCATGTGAGGACACAGCAAGAAGACAGTGGTCCGCAGGCCAAGGAGAGAGGCCTCACCAGAAACCAACCCTGCTGGCACCTTGATCTTGGGCTTCCAGCCTCCGGAACTGTGAGGAAATAAATTTCTGTTGTTTAAGCCCCAGTTTGTTATGGCAGCCTGCTATGGTCCGAATGGCCATGTAACCCCCAAGGTGATGGTATTAGGAGGTGGGGCCTTTGGGAGGTGATTAGGTCATGAGGGTGGAGCTCCCATGAATGGAATTAGTGCCCTTAGAAAGGCAGCCCAAGAAAGCTCCCTCGTCCCTTCTGCCATGTGAGGACACAGCAAGAAGACAACCATCTATGAACCAGGAAGTGGGCCCCACCAGACACCACATCCGCCGGCATTTTGATCTTGGGCTTCCAGCCTCCAGAGCTGTGAGAAATAAATTTCTGTTGTTGATAAGCCACCCAGTTTGTGGTATTTTGTTATAGTAGCCTGAATGGACTAAGCAAACAAACATAGGCCCACACTAATCACAGTGGTCTCGCTCCCCTTGCCAGTGAAGGGTTTAGACATGGGCACATAACCCATTTCTGGTTGCCCTGATGGGGGCTGCAGTTTCCTTGTTCTTAAACAGGAGCCCAAGGAACTGAAGACTCCCCATCTTTCTGCCTCTGGATGCTACCACGTCTGGACGTGACGCCTGGAATGGCTGCAGCCACTTTGCTGCCATGTGGGGACGGCAGAGCACAGAGATGGACAGAACCTGCCTGGCCCAGAGCCTGCACTTGTTACTCAAGAGAACACACTGAGTTATTCTTGTAGGGCCAGTTAGGTGTTTGTTCCTTGCAGCCAGAAACATCCCACCTGATGATAAAAATGGCAATGTCACAAATGGCTTCCCTAACCCACTCATGGGGTGTTTATATTTGAAAAGTCATTCTTGAAGACCAATATCGAAGTGGTTTCTGGGAAAAGCTGGGAAAAAGCTATTCTTATAATCATCACACTGATACTCCCCAAAAGCACAAATAATCACTCATTCAACACCTACCTATAGAGCTACTTGAACGTAGTAGCCACTATTCTAGGCATGAGGCCAGGGCAGTGAGGACATGAGACAGAAATCCATGCCCTCGTGTGGCTTATTCTCTCTCACGCGCGCACGCGCGTGCGCACACACACACACAAATAAAGGAGACATCTTGGCCCACCACACCTGAAAACATGAACTAGGGCAAATACCAACATATGGACAAAACATTCTGGCCACTAAGACAAAACAAATGCTTAAAAAGTTCTTTTTCACAAGAGATGAATGCATTAAAAATGTATCCAAGAATATAACCTGGGGAAAAAAAGGTTCCATTGTCAAACAGGAATACAGGAATACCCATAAGTGTTCAGGGAGCCAAATGTTATGGATCCCAGGAAGGTCTGTTAGAGGTTATTCATTTTTTTTCTGAGAGTGACAGAATTGATTATCTTGGGCGAGAACAAGAGGAACAATAGTTCAAACAGACTGAGATCGAAATAAGCCTGTTGGCTGAGATAAACCATCGAAAAACTTGCAGCTCAGCATATTAGCTTGCAGACACACATCAGAACTTGAAGATTCAGAAGAGTCACAAGGCCCCTATATTCCCTTAATTTATATATTTAATTGTCTTATAAAAAGTATAAAAATAAGAAATGCTTATGGACAAAATTTCACACACTATTGCTGTGCAGTAAGTAAAATGTGCATGCCTTCCCTCCCAACTCCCACTTCCTGGGGGTCACCAGTGTCCACATTCTGGTGTTTGTCTTTCTAGGCCTTTGTCTGCGCCCTGTGAATATGTAACTTTTGTTGTAACAGCTTGGTTTGTTTTACAGAAATGGATAGTCTTATACATTTTGGGCTGCAACTTGCCTTTTTCACTCAATAACCTAGCATGGGCCTCCCTCCTCCCAAGTCAGGAGGGAAATCTACTGTACTCTTTTTAATGGCTGAGGAATCCACACCATGGATATAACATTATTGTTCAAACCGCCTCTAATTGATGGATTTTTAAAAATGTTTTATTTTGAGCCAATTACAAACTCCTAAGAAATTGCAAAAATAGTAAAAAGGTCCTGGGTACCCATCACTCAGCTTCCCCCAGTGGTGACATCCTACATAACTATAGTGCATTGTCAAAGCCAGGAAACTGACATTGCTATAATAGAATTAACTGGACTATTTCACCAGGTTTTACACGCACTCTTTATCGTGGGGGGAAGGCTATGTCTTTGTGACATTTCATTAACATATGTGAATTTGTATAACCACCATCATATTTAACTACAGATTTTTAAGGTTATCTCCGGAGTAGGGTTATTTACCTACTTCAAAAGTTTAGGGAAAAAAAAGAAGTTGGGCCAACACCACATTTCTGTTTTCTAAACTGGTATCAACTTATATGCAGCCCAGAGTGCTTACAGATTTCTACTTCTGCTTTTACTAAATAACCTTCCAACCAGTGTTTACAAATACTGCTTCATAAAAAGAAAATTAAATGATATGCATGTCATATTTTCCTCTTTGCTTTTCTAAATGAAGCATAAATGTAAATGGTGGGCAAAATCATAAACTAATCTTAAATGCTGATATTCTTTTCCCCCAATACAGAGTTAACATGCTCAGATCTTAAAGAAATAAAATACTTCAATGTGAAAAAAAAGATATTCTATACTCTAGGCATTAAAAGGAGGAATTTTTAATTTTTCATATTATTTCTCTTTCACTGGGGATTATTTCCTAATTCAAAAGAACAAAAAAAACACACCTGTATGCATAACAGGGATTTATCAATGGCCATGGCTAGTTTCAGATGGGCATTATTAGCCTAACCATATTTTAGAATGTATAAAACGTAATTTATAGTATGACCATTGGAGTAACAGTCCCAAGAGTCAATCTGTTAAGGCCTTTGAGGTCCACCCCAAGTGTAGCAGTTAACAGGAGTTATCTAGAAAGAAAGAGTGTAGGAGCTGAGAGAACAAATCTGCTGGTCTCCGAGTCACCACCAAAATAGCTACGGGCTTTAACTCTTTCTAGTTGTGTGACTTGGCAAGTGTGTAAGCCTCAGGGGCCTCATCCGTAGGATGGGGATAATGACAGTACCTTGCCTAAGGAAGCTGGGAGAGTGGATTAAGATGGCCCAAGTTGGGCCGGCCCCATGGCTTGGCAGTTGGGTGCACGCGCTCCACTGCTGGTGGCCCGGGTTCGGATCCCGGGCGCGCACCGACGCACCACTTCTCCGGCCATGCTGAGGCCGCGGCCCACGTGCAGCAACTAGAGGGATGTGCAGCTGTGACATACAACTATCTACTGGGGCTTTGGGGGAAAAAAATAAATAAATAAAATTATTACAAAAAAAAAAATGATGGCCCAAGTAAAGCAACTAACACGGAGCTGGGGACAGAGCGAGCCACAGAAAAGGTAATTGTGTCCAAGGCTCAAAAGCTCAGCAACATCTTTGACTCATCTCCTCATCTCCGTCCTCCAACCTTCTCCACATCCAACAGACTCACTCTGCCTTCTAAATGCCTCCTGAGATGACTGAGGGCCAGAGACTTCCCTAACAACAGGTATTTGTTATAAGGTTAAGTGAGGGAAAGCACTGTAAAATTACACAGGGAAAAATTCTCATCCATGAAACAGAATTACAGAGAGGGAGAGAGAAGTATTAAAAAGGAAATGCACCAAAATGTCAACCCTGACCAGTTATGGATGGCAGGATCTTAGGTGGCTATTTTTCTCCTTTTAACCTTTCTATCTTTCCCAAATTCTTTCCAATGAATATGTATTTTTATTAGTAAGTGTTTTTTGATTATGAAACTCTCCTGTCCATTCTGTCTCCTGTTTGTTCCACAGCTAGCCCCTGGTTCTCCTCTCTCTCATCCACCTGGGATGCCTCTGCCAGTCTCGTCGTCTTCCAGCACCGCGTTTTTCAAATCAGTCCCCTGATCAGAAATCGTCAACAGCAGCCTGATCGCCATGACCTGAGGTTCAACAGCCTCGGCAGCCTGGCCCAGCGCGCTTGGCTCTACTCCTAGGCAGCCTGACTTCTCACTCTTCTCCAGTCAGGCTGCTCCCCTTATTGTGCCTCTTACCTGCCTGTCTGTACAGGTTCCTCCCCTCAGCCCTTCATTTACTGCCCCCTCCCCACCCCCACTCGTCTCCTGGCCTTCAAGTCAGCTCAGACCCCCGTCCACGTCAGCTGAGTCCTGTTAAGACCAGCAGGGCAGCCACCCCCACTGCCTGGTGTCTACCACGCACCAGCCCTTGGCCATGCGCTGACATGCGTTATCACAGTCACCTCACAACAGCCCTTTGAGGAAGCTTCTATTATTGGCCCCATTTTATAGCTGGTAAAACTGAGGCACAAAGAAGTCAAGTAGCTCAAGGCAATACAGCTATAATTTGAACCCAGGTCTGCCCCAGCCACCACCACCTTCCTCTTCCCTCCTTCGACACCGACAACCTACAGCACACAGCTTAGCAAGGGATCACACAGGACTCCCCATCACACAAGACCCCGCCCCTGATGTCAGGCGTCGGGCCTTTTATTCTATACCTCCCACACCACCCCCAGCAAGCAAGAAGCTGCTGGAAACGATGCGAAGCTTACCAAGAGATTTGTTTCCATTGCTCAAAAGCAGGTTTTGTGAAATGACTGCTTTTTTCTGTGTAGAACGTGCCTGAAATGGGAAGCATACACCCATTTTCTACTTACGATAATTTTATTTTAAATTGTGTAAGAGGGAAAAAAATCCTGTCTTCAAACAACAACAAAAAAGCCTTTTTGAATAATTACTCCCTGATTTTGGGGGGTGGGGGGATTTTGGTTTTCAATTTCGATTTGAAATTTCGTACGTCAGATATCTGTAGCTGAAGGCATCTCTCCCTCCTCTCATCTAGACAGTTCTCCCCCTCCCCTATCTCACTTACCTGTCCTACATATTACCAACTGCTGCAGCCACACTCAACAATCCCCAGTTTTGGAGGCACGGCCTCTGAAAGACACACACGGCTCTAACTCCCCAGCTGACATATCCCAGCCACTGACAAGAGCTTTTGGGCATCACATTGTCACTGCATTTTCCACACCACCCTCCACACTGACACCAATTCTTCATTTTGAAAATGACTTTTCTTTTTTACAAGACACTGCAAGTTCCTTATTTAAGTGCCCCAAGAATCAGAGTTTATTATTATTCAGGTGACCTAATTTTTTTAATCACTTCTTCTAGTGCAATAATGATTTCCTAGAGTTTTACTCCCCAGGAAAGTTCTAGTCCCAGCTTCTGCCATCCTCTGAGACTACCGGTGCTTAAAATAAAAGAGCACCTTATGACATGTACCTTTTGTTTTTAATCCGATTTTGCCTTTCATTAAAATAAGGAGGAAAAAAATCAGTGCTCTCATTTTCAGTCATGTCAGTCCTACTCATCTGTTTCAGTCACTCAGCTGCACAGGTAGGGCGGCTCTCTTTCTCCAGTCAAGTTCATGGTACCTCATCCCCGGAGCCTGGGCCAGCATGTGGTTACTGAAACTCAGCTGACCATCATACAGAATGGCCAGCAAATTCTCAATCTTCCATTTATACTGGCTTGATACAAAATCAATTTAATTAATGGTAAAAAATTCACCTGAAATACAAGGTGTCCCTATTTTTCTCCTCATACTTTAGGATTTGGAAAAATAAAAATATAAGCAATGTATCATACTTGCTGAAAAGTTAGAAAACATAAGCCAAGAAAAGAAGCTAAGAGGATCCAAAATCTCACCCTCCAGCAATATTTTGTCCATCTCCTTTCCCATTCACTCATGCAGATATAAACATCATGTTTGCAATCCTGATGACTCAACAAACATTCAAGCACTATGTGTGGGCACTCCACTAAGTCCGGTAAAGGGACTATCTTGTTTGATCCATGCAATAGACTAGAAAACACGAGTTATTTTTGCTCCCATTTTACAGGTGAAGAAAAAAGGCTCAGAGTGGTTGGGACAAGTGACCTGACCCCTGCTCTATCGGCACACCTGTGAGCAACAGAGCTGAGATTCGGACCCAGGCCCCTCGACTCCAGACCTGAACACTAGGCCACACTACCACTTAGGACACACACAGCAACACATATAACCTCCTTTTTTCACTCAGCAGTATATTGTGAATGCCCTTATGTCAGTACATACAGATCTTCACCATGGGGCTCCATCATTTTAAATGACCCCATAACATTCCATTCAGTACCTGGACCACAATTTAACCAATCCCCTTCCGGCGGCTGTCTCCAATGTTGCACTAGCATGAACAAACCCACACATGTCTGTGTATATGGGTGTGTGTTTATGCACTCGTCCAATTATTTCCACTGGATATTTTTAAAAGTGGGATTGCTAAGTCAAAGTCATGTCCTTTTGTCTCCTTCTTTAAGGCTGTCAATGTGTCTTTGCAGTTTCTGGGAAAAGGCAGGTGCATCTGAATTTTGCTTTGCTCCATGTATCCTTTGTAGCAAGGCCCCCATTCTCTTCCCCACAGAATAAATTCTCAGCCTTCAACGAGAAGACAAGGGAAGCTTCATCTATCACAGTTATCACAATTTGAACTGGTGTTCTACCAAAACTGCTTCCCAGTCTGGGGAAGACCAAAAAGTATGTCTGCTATGATTCAGACTTCACTTTAACGCCCGACAACGCTTCAATTAGACAAAAAGAAAAAAAAGAATCTTATAAAAGCAGTTACATATCTGAGTTTCAGTTCCTGCTACAAAACGGGGAAAATATTACCTGCTCTACTAACTTTATTAGATTAGTATAAACACAAAAGGAACGCATGAACGTTAGTGAACAGGCAATGAAGCACATGGCCCTGGAGTCAGATCCCGTGCATTTGTGTCCAGTGACCACCACTTTCTAGCTGTGTGAGCTTACATGGGTATTTGGCCTCTCTGACCCTCCACATCCCCCTCCCAGAGCTGTTAAACAAGACAATCTAGGAAAAGCACTGAGCACAGAACCAGCCACACTGGTGTACCCCCTATAAAGGCTGGCCAGCACTGCCGTTGCTATAGTTGTGATAAAAGGGCCCTATTTATGTTACAGGGCACACTGGTGTAGGGGGCGTTACGATACTATACAGAGGAGAGCAGAGCCCAGCATTTCCCCTCGGGGTGAACTTCACACTGAAGCCACCTGCCAGTTACCTCGGGGGCGTGGTAGGAAATGCACTGGAAGATCCAGTCCATGGCGGGCGAGTACAAGGGGAGGTAGGATGGGAGCTCCACTCCCTGGACCACCAGCTGGTTCTGGACCGTATCCCCGTGAATCTACAGGAGACCAAAGAAACACTCAGGAAAAGAAGGAAAAGTCACATCATAAACAAAGCATGTGTACCTCACAGACTGTGCAGACTTGTAAGCATTTGGAGGGCCCTGAGAGAAACAGTCTGGGTTCTCAGGTTTTTTTTAAACTAGAAAAAACACATAGAAAGTTTCCCATGTCACCAAACTGAGCTGTTTGGGGAATGTGTGTTGTGCAAAGAAGTAACTCGATAAAAATGGAGCCAGCAGATGCTAAGAAGAAAGGCTGATCAACGGGAGACGCTTCCTGTTAACACATGCATATTAATTCCCTTTGCTCGTTCAGTACAATCAACACATTTTAATTGTCTGTAACAGACGCCACTGTCATTTTCAAGCGTTTACAGTTAAAGAGCTTTAAGGCAATCGCAACTTGGAAGACCAACTGGATTTTGTGAATTCACGATCACATAACTGTCATATCAATTAGCTGTTCTGCGAGTGTTCTCTTACCTGTTTGAACGTAAGGAGGAAGTCAAAGAAGTTCTTATTTAGGCTTTCTTTGAGATGTGGAGCCACTTCCATTCCCGCCTGTGGCCAAACAAAAGAAACTATCTTGATTATGGAAAAACAGGTTGCAAATAATATACACAGTATCATGTCATTTTTGTAAATTAAAAATATACACGTAGATAGATATAGGCATGGAGAAGTCCAGAAAGTTACTTTTTCTTCTTTTTGCTTATCTGTTTTCTTATTCAATAAGCATATATTGCTTTTATAAGAAAAACCACAGAAGCTATTTTTAATGAAATAAGGGCAACATTTGCAGTAATCGTCTTTGCAGTTTCCCAAAGGCAACGAATGTATTTCTGAACAGACGACCAAGGGAACAAATCAATACAGCACTAAGGGAGGAATGTACTCCCAAGATTGTGTATACAATATTCTCTTCCTCTCTAAAAAATGATAAACACACATGTGGCTGTACTTATTAAATGAAGCAAAAAGATTTTGGTATGTAAGAGTCAGCTGGGACTTCACTGTTGCGTTGTTAAAATAGACGGATTCATTCTTTGCTGGGCAGTCAAGGAAGTAGACATTCATTTTAATATATTTTAAGCAATTTTATGTAAGACGAGCAGGAAGTGTAACAATGCTATCATCCACTGGCTCCTGTGTTCATTGTTTAAAAAACAGATTGTAACATTTCCAGCTGAAAAAATCTGCTAATCACAGAGAAGGTGGCCAGAGCCCTGGGGTGGGATGGAAAAGTGAAGGCATGGGCCGTGGAGGGGAGCTGCCATGTTGAAAACAAAACAAAGCATCATAATGTTCCTTAAACAGAGCTCCTTGGATACACCTCAATTCCAAATTGTTGGCTTTAGCACAAAAACAACTTTGCAAGAGAAGTTGCTTTTCTGGGACCTGGTTTCTTCCAATGGGGACAGACTTCTGCCACTCCCCTCCCCCTCCCCAGAGGTCATGAAGACTAACAATCGTGATGTTTTTTTAGATGGCTGTGAAGAATTCTGAGAAAAATTATGCGAGAACCACTGGGGCATTAAATTCCAAAGGCAGCTCTAAGGCTGCTGGGGATCTTCCCAAGGACAAGCACGTAGATGAAAAAAATACTAACAACAAATGTCAGATCGAGTTCTACTGTGTTCTGATTATATTGTCTTTCCTTCCACTTAATCATATCGTAGAAAAGGCAATAATTATCTGTTAGGTGACAGCACAGAAAGGCCCAGTGGACCAGCAGTCAGATGAGCTGAAGGGGCCATGACTTAGAGGAAGAGTTAATCATACTTTCCTTTAATACACCGCGTTGAGCTCCCCCCACGCCCTGCCCACTCGCTGCTTTTGTGTTTTGTTTATCTCTTCCCATCAAGCCCAATGAGCAGCTTGGAAGCCTGCTTGGGTCGAAAAGCTTTCCACGCAGAGCAGCAAGGGTAGTGGTTCATGATTTCCATCTGCTGTTTCTGCCTGCCTGGCATTCATTCCCTGTTTCTGCTATCAGCAGATTGGATTTGTCTTTGGGGAATCACACCTTCCTCTCGGACCACGAGGTTTGTGGCAGAGCTGGACCCAGCTCATCCTGACTTCTAGAGGTGGGCACATGATCCAGGCTTGATCAGTAGGCCTATCTTGTCCCATGGCCACAGTGATTGGTCTATCAATAGACAAGTGACCCAAGATAATCCACTGAGAATCAGCCCTGAGACTCTGACTGAAACTACTGGGGAAAAGGCGCTCTCCTTCCATTGGAGTTCCTAAGTTGTGAGAACGGAAGCCTGGAGCTGCCGTGGGTCACCACATGGAAACAGCAAGCCAGAGAATGAAGTCAACTGAGAGGAAAGCAGAGCTGAGTGATGAGGAAGGGACAATTCTTGACAATGCTCTAAGGCCCTGGATCCAACCATGCCTGCACTATGCCTAGCTGCTTCAGAGCCAATAAATCCCTCTTTTTACTGAAAGTAGTATGAACTGGGTTTTTCCCATTTGCAAACTGAAAGAATCCTTACTTATGCACAGATTGCCTTTTACTCTTTTTATGTAAAAGAATTTTTAGTAACTACCCACCCAAGGGAATAAATGCACTGCCTGGATTGACACAAATTATTTCAACAGATACAGTACGTTTCACCACCAGTCTTCCTGGGATGAGTCTGCAATCTCTCCTCATGGTCACAGAGTTTTAAAGTTGCATCTGCCATTCAAAGGCACTTTATATGCAACAAACATTATCTCTTCCCTCCTTTGTGTATCTTCAAACTTTACAACTGAACAGGTTTGCAAGGAATGGGTATTTCCCTCTCTTTCTGATTTCTCTTTAATAACCAGAATTATCTTCATAAGACACACAGTAATTCTAAATCTTTATTACTCTATTATTCAACTGACGTCAAGGTGAATTCAAAGAATCTGCTATGTTCTACAAGGGGAAAGGCAGCAGTGTAAAATTTATGCAAATGAGGGTATCCTGGCGTCTCCCCCAGAGGATCCAGCAGTGTTTTGTGCACAGTAGGCCCTCAGCCAACACTGAATCAGGAGGAGTATACAGGCTGCAATACATTCCAAAGTTGAAGCTCTAGGAAACATACCTGATATTCCTGTATGGAAAGTCCACCCTAAGTTACAAGCAGATGGCAGTGCATACACATTTTGGCCTCAGTTACAAACGGGAGCAGGCAGGCTACCCTTAAACGGAAGACTTTTTCTTTTCATTTCTCATCTATCATGGGACAGACCTATAAAAACGGTCCTCATGAAGATGTCTGCTATTCACTCTGAGGGCACCAACTGTTTGACTTCCCTGTGACAGAGACCACAGGGCTTCTGTCACTTGCTAGATGTCATGTAAAAGAAGTGGATCACGGGCTGCGGGCTCTTGCCTTCTGATTTAATAATGTGAATAACCCCTAACTACAGCTTTGTCCTCAAAAAGTCGGGTTCATCAGGACCCTTCTGCACAGGGGCAATAAAGCCCTCTTTAGAGATGAATGATGCCGATGGAACTAGCCAGGACTTCCGCCGACAGCTGATGGAGACAAAGCCCCCATACGAGTTGAAGAAAAACAACCATAAACTCTCCATGGGTTGCATTTTTCACAAATGAAAAACTTAACAGTTTTAAGTAGAAGCTTCACGGTGCTTTAAAGGGGAGAAAGGCCAAGTGATTCACAAGCAGGACTGTCTTCCCCATCAGAGCAGCTGTGAAGACACCCTCCGAGGCCAGGCCACACAGACCCTGCCGCCCGTCGTCGCAAGGAGCACTGCTCCCTGCCAAACCACCCTCGCCACCCCACACTCTGAGCCAACTCTTTAATATGAGGACAGAAAAACTAATAAAACGATCAAATTCAAGACAAAGGGAGGGCCGGCCCCATGGCTTAGCGGTTAAGCGCGCGCGCTCCGCTGCTGGCGGCCCGGGTTCGGATCCCGGCCGCGCACCGACGCACTACTTCTCCGGCCATGCTGAGGCCGCGTCCCACATACAGCAACTAGAAGGATGTGCAGCTATGACATACAACTATCTACTGGGGCTTTAAGGGGAAAAAAAAAAATAAATAAAATCTTTAAAAAAAAAAAAAAAAGACAAAGGGAAAGCACGTTTCAAGTCAATGAAAAGCAACCCAACAGCTGAGGCCTTGGGAGCCTCCTTCTCAGCAAGAATGGAGGAACAATTAATTCTGAAAACCAGTTCACTTGGAAGAAGATGACCTTGCACGTCCCCTAATTAGAGTTACGGTAAGTGGGTCTACTTTAAAATTAATTTTTAAAAGAAATCCTATAGCTCTGCTTTCTGTGGAAGAGCCGTGTTCTAAAATTAGAAGCTAATCAAGTCCTTCTTCCAGTGACTTGTGAGGTGGTGGGGAAGGGGAACCTGGTGAACATTTGAGGGAACAGGAAACTACCACATCTGTGAGCACAGCGGCTTGGCGCAGCCTACCCGGCAGAGATAGGCCCTGGCATACACTGACACCAGCGGGTCTCCGATCCCTCGAATCATGCATGTCAGTCGGGGCAGACATTCCGAAATCCCCCTGTTAGAGACAAAAAGTGGGCAGCATTACACCCCATGTGAGAACTCACTGTTCTTTTTAAAATAAAGATAAAGCTAACCTTCCTAAACTTAGGGGGAAAAAAATCAAGTTTCAGGAATAACCAAGTCCAAGTTTCAGAGTTTTCTAAGGCCACATAACAACAGTCTTCCTCTCTTGACACAATTCGTTCATTGAATTGTTTCTTTCATCTTTACTATTTGCTCAGTGCTGGAGTCTAATCTTCACTATTTTTCCCGCCGGAGTTTTTGTCCCCCAGTGATTGTCCATGGACTGGATCTTCTCACCTATCTATGTTCCTGTGCCACTGATCTGCTGTCCTGGGCCCCACCCCTTCATAGCACCCGCCACCTAGCCCGAGGCTGGCATCAGTGACCCCGTCAATGTGAACCATGATTTATTTCTCCTGTGACACAGGACTTTCCTCTGCCTGTTCCTTTTAAAATAAAGCTATTACCCTCCCCCACCTGGTGACGCAAAATATCTGTTTCTTCAGCATCAATGTTATCCCTCCAAACGACCCCAGCATCCCTAGATCCCATCACACACATTTGGTACACATTCTGAATCCCACCACACGACTTCTCTGTGGAGCAATGTGGGTCAGCCCACGGCTTCGGGGAGTTTATCATCTAGATGCCATCCAACATGACCCAGCGCTTCCCTGGCTCTGCAGAAAGGAGGTCTGGTTTCCCCAGGCTCTGTAAATTCCTCTCAAAAAAATGTCTGAGGTGACCCAGAGTAGCATGGGGCTCAAGGGCAGAGGCTTGTACTTCTGACATTGTCATCTTCATCATCGTGGCCAGCAGCAGCGAACGCCAAACGTGGGCCAACTGCATGCCAGGTGCTGCTCTCAGCGCAGTGTGTGCAGCTAGCGGACCCTCCCAGACCTCTTCATAGGGCCTTGTTCTCAGAGGAGGAGGCTGAGGGTCAGAGATGCTCAATAACTTGATCAAGATGACACAGCTAGTAAGGGCAGAGCTAGGATTCAAATCCAGCTGAGATGATCTCTCATGAGCTACTCAACCAATCACTCCTAGCTTGAATCTTCTTCTCCAGAAAATGGGGATTAAAATGTTATCTCGACTTCATTAAGTTTTCATTTGAATTAAATGAGAAAATGCATGGAAGGTGCTTGGGATCAGATCTGTTACATACTAAGTACCCAAAGAATGATAGCTACTATTATATTGCCACTAGTGCTGCGTGTGTGTGTGTGAGAGAGAGAGAGATGCTTTTTGGAAATGTTACAGTTCTAGACATTTAAGAAGAGCCTTACGTTTTAGAGAGAAACTTGTTACACTTCAGGATGGATGCTTCGACATAACTACAAACACATTCCGGTAAGGAAGACATTTTCCAGACAGACTGTTCCCTAAGGGGGAAAAGACTAAACTATTCATGAACAGAACTAGGTATGTCTTCAGGAGATGGGGCCACAACAGCTCTCAACAATCCAGACAACTAAGTTAGCTAGTGGCTTGTGGTTTCTATATTTGGTTTTCAAGGTTTTATACTTACTCACGATAAAATTTGGAAAATGCTACAAGCTGATTCATGGCTGCACGCTAAATTTAAGCTGGGTTTTGAGCACTTCCAACCAAGGCTTTATGGGGAAAGAATGCACTTCAGATAACTAAGATTCAATTTGTGTAAGTCGAATTCTCTGTTCTTCAATATTGGCATTTGTGCAGAGAAGCCTGACCCTGTTCCTTTCAAGTTCTTGGAACCAGAGAAAACACGAAGATGAAGCATTTTAACTGAGACACTTAATGTGGGAATGTTCCTCAAGGAAAGAAAAGCCCGGTACATGGCATCATATTCAAAGTAAAAAAAAACAGAAAACTCTTTGGAGACAGCAAGAGTCAGGGGCTTCTACAACGTGGCTGGCCCTGGGTTTTCAGGCTAGCAACCGCACCGGGACCAAATTTTCAACAGGAGTTTCAGGGCACCCCATCACATGGCTTCTGTTAACAGCGCAACCCTTTTAGCCTATCTTTAAAACCCTCAGACAAAAAAAAAAGGATACAATCTCGGAATGAGCTCCCTGATGGAAGCAATCTTGAAAAACCAATTTAAGCATGTTTCTTTGGCCGTGTCATTTACATTCTCTGGAGAGAAGTGATCTGTAATACAAAAATAATACCCGTCAGCCCTCCTAATTCTCGGGATCTGTTACAGCTGCTATGAGCGCTGGGATAGGAAAATGTTACAATGGAGCAGAAGGAGGGGTGGGGTACCCCTGAGAGGCTTTCTAAGCACCAGGCGCTGTTCACAGTGCTTTACAGAAGTCAGCTAACCCCCCACCATAGCCTTCCGAGGTATATACTTACGTTACCTTCTTTTATACATACAGAGACCAAGGCACAAGGAAGTTTAGTAACTTGCCCAGGGCACACAGCAAGCAAATGTAGAGCCAGAATTCAACTCAGGCAGTCTGACTCCACAGCCTACACTCTTAAGCCACTGTCTCTAATATAATCCAGAGGTTCTTGGTGTACCCACCAGTAACCACGATGACATTGTTGAGAATTCCAGATGCTTTAGGAACCTGCAACTATAACATGAAATGTGATGGACGCTTGTGCTCCAAGTATCACATGGGCCAGACGTCAAGGTAAACCAAGGCCCTGAGGTTGGAAACCAGCCAGAGTTAGGCTGCCAGCTCAACACTGGCTCTAAGACTTGAGTCACCTGGTGGCAAAAATGCCAGTTTCTCCCATTATCTGTTCTCTTCCTCTTTAATCACAGAACTCTCACTTTTCTGCTGGGCGAACGGCCATCCTTGCAGCTAGATGTGGCCATGGGGCCAAGTTCTGGTCCCAGGATGTAAACACAAGTGCAACTTCTGGGAAACAGCTTTAAGAAAAGAGGCTTGACCTCCTTCACTCCTTTCTTCTTGCTGACTGGAATGCAGATGTGACAGCTGGAACCTCCATAACCATCTTGAACCATAAGAGCAAGAGAGAAGTCAGGATCCTGGCACCAGGGGCTGGCTGCCCCACCAGCCCTGACCTTCTTTGGTGTTGTTTTGAGCTTCCTGGTACTGCCACCCAAGCCTAATCTTGGGTACATACATCTCAGTAAGGAACAGGAGAGAGTACAGAACATGACACACATCTTAATAAGGAACGGAAGAGAGTATAGAACAATGAAAAAAACAAAACACTCATCAGCACCAAGAAGGCCACTGCTGAACTCTCACATGGAAATGATTTCTTCTAAATGATTTCCATACAGATTGGAGCCCGATCCCACACGGGATGTGCTTTATACTTTTAGGATTCAATCAAAAAGGGAGAAGTTCATGTCTTTAGAAGACAGCGAATGAATGTTAGCCTGCTGGCTCTCAGCCTGTGCAGTGAGTCGTTTTTTGTCCCTGATTCTGCTTTCTGCTACCTGGTAGTACATGAAGAAGGTCATCAAAATTCCTACGGAATCAGCAAAAAGATAAACCTCTAGGTGGTTCACCAGCACAGAAAAGGCACTAATCACACTGCAGATATTTTGGAATTGCAATCTCAAGTATTTATCTATTTTTGGATGTTCTAGCATGCTTCATTCATTCCAGAATTATTCACTTGCCATTTTCAAAGGGAAAGGAAATTACCATTTTCCCTTTCCTGGCTTAAACCCGGGCACTTAAAGTAACTTTTTCTCAAGTTCCAAGAGACCCAGACAGGAAAAGATAAAGGTTATTCTTAAATTCATTTGTCAATCTTGCCTTGTGGAACAGGGAAGGGCGGGGTTAATTTCCCTTCATATGACTGAATCATGTGACTTGAAACCCAAAACAAAAATAAGTCTCTGAAGTCACCTAATAAAATCCCTCACTTTCCAGTTGAGGGAACAGAGGTTCGGCAAAGAGTGGGACGACTGTGATTCAGGCTGCTGGGGAGCACTGGGAATCACAGAAGAGGCAAGATACCCCATGTATACGCTGGGACTGCAAGCCATGCAGTGATCTGCATACACCAATACAAAGGCTTCTGGCTTCCCTTCAGCTCAAGAGAAGATTTAGGAAAAGGACCATGTTATGCAGGACTTGAAAGTCTTTCAGCAAACTAAATATTACATTCTTTTACTTCATTTGCTCAATGCAAATGTTTTAAGAACCAACTAAAGGTAGTATTCTAGGCTATGGGGAGATAACAACACATCAGACAGACCTTGTCCTCATGAAGCTTACATTCCAGTGGGAGAAGAAACATAATCAACAGGGAAAAGAATCAGCAAGCAAACAAATGAGACAATATCTAATAGCAGTCAACAACATGAAAGACACAAAACTAGGTATTAGAATGGAGGGTGACTTGAGTGGGGGGAGGTTCATTAGATAGCGTGGTCAGAGAAAGCTCCTGCGGAGGTGGGATTTGAGCTGACCCTTGAATTACAAAAAGGAGCCAGCCATGCACAGATGTGGAGGAAATGTATTTCCAGGAGGAGGAAACAGCAAGTACAAAGGCCCTGGGGCAGGTATGAGCTCTGATATGGTCAAAGAGCAGGAAAGCAAGCCAAGGTGGTGAGCAGGAAGGGAAGAAGCAGGCATCACAAGCCAGGTTACATAGGGCTGTGGCCTTGGTGAGGAGTCTGAGAGTTTTTCTAAGTGCTACGGAAACTCCCTGAGTTTCTGAGCAGAGGAATGGCATGACATGACATGATTTATACTTTAGCACTTGGACTGCTACGTGGAAAACAAATTCAGAACTTGGAAATTGATTCAGAAGAGACTTCGAGGGCCGGCCCCATGGCTTAGCGGTTAAGTGCGCGCGCTCCGTTGCTGGCGGCCCGGTTTCGGATCCCAGGCGCGCACCACGCACTGCTTCTCCAGCCACGCTGAGGCCACGTCCCACATGCAGCAACTAGAAGGATGTGCAACTATGACATACAATTATCTACTGGGGCTTTGGGGGAAAAAATAAATAAAAAAAAAAAGAAGAGACTTCAATGTAAGAAAGAGCAGAGATTTTTCCTTCTAGTTCCTACTTGTTTTTCTTTTATGGTGCTTCTTTTTCTGACCTCGAACTTCTGTGGATATTTTAGGAGGAGGGAGGAGACCAACGAGTCTAGTTCTCTTTCATTTGCCAAGTCTCCACCCCAGCAGTGAGAGGTCTCTTTACGTAGCAGTGCTTATAGGGATGTGACGCCATCTTAGCACGTGCCAGAAAGGCCAGGTCAGTTAGGGACGCTGCTCACCCGGATGCAGCCTCCATCAGCCAGGTGGCAAAACTGAAGATGGGAATGCCCACAGCTGATGATGAGAACCACGACTCAACAAACCCAAATTACTTCTCCCAAGATGGAAATTGAGTTACGTTATCACTTAGAGCAGACGGTCTCTTTACACATATGCAGGATTAAGAAACGTTGGGAAAAAATTCCCACATCTAGTAGCGTGTACCTTCCATGAACCCAAAGGACACGGATCTTTCTAAACTCATAAGAACTCCGCCTTAGTTACAACTCCTGAAGGTAAAGGGCCCAAATGTTAAATTCACCAGAAAGAACTTGATGCAAATGGAAAGAATTAGTACACATGCCACCAGATTTCTCTCTCAACATAATTTCTTTAGGCAGGATTCTGCACAGCTTTCAAAAGCTTTCCTCACAATTATTAAGAGTCATCCCCAAGATCACTGACATTTTTGAGAAAAGTCTGCCCCTTTCCCTTTCCGGTTCTTGGAACCAGAGATAACACATCACAGATGAAGATTTTTAACTGAAAGGGAGAAAAAAATGAAGAAATTATTTTCAAGGAAACAAAAGCCCGATTTGCATTGCTTGAGGTACAAAATAGGAATTGGAGAGGGAAGAACCTGAGAGACAAAAGCGCTCTTAACGTATTTACACAAGGCCTGGAAGTGAATATGAAAATAGCCCTTTATCTTGAACTTTTCTAGTTTAAGTAGGGAGTAAGTTATTAGTAATTTTTCCTTAATTGGCCCTAAAATGTTGTTTGTATAGTGAAAATTGAGAGGAAAGAAAATTATTGCACTAGATGCAAACTCAAACGCCCCTGGGGGCCAGACAAGTAATAGAAAGATTTTTAAGCAGTTAGGGGTACAACAGGAAGGAGTAGAACCTATATCAAAAAGCATTAAAAAAATACTGTAGGGCCACCCCCAGTGGCCTAGTGGTTAAGTTTGGCACGTTCCACTTCAGTGGCCCAGATTCGGTTCCCAGGCTCAGTTCCTGGGCACAGACCTACACCACTTGTCTGTCAGTGGCCATGCTGTGGTGGCGGCTCACATACAAAAAGAGGAAGATTGGCAGTGGATGTTAGCTCAGGGCAAATCTTCCTCAGCAAAAAAAAAAAAAAAAAAAAATTACTGTTGTAGCCAAAGAAAACACCTAAATGAAATGGGTTTAATTCCACCTTTAGGCTGAGGGTTTACTGCTGCTGATATAGCACATGGAATACAAGCTGGCAAGTGTAAAATAAACGCGCCCAGATTTCCCAAATCCTTAAGCTGACAGAGAAGGCCCTTCCCCTCATGCTGGCCCCTGCCTACCTTTCCAGGCTCATGGCTCTCCCAATCTTGAGAAGCCTAGAACGTGGAAAGAGCTATTAAAAACATCATTGGTGTGATGTGGTGGAGGAGAGGATCTAGAGCAGCACCATCCAGTAGAAATATCATGTGAGCCACATTCAAAAAGGTAAAACAAAGGGCTGGCCCGGTGGCGCAAGCGGTTAGGTGCGCACACTCTGCTGTGGTGGCCCGGGGTTCGCCGGTTCAGATCCCGGGCACGTACCGACACACCGCTTGTCAAGCCATGCTGTGGCAGCATCCCATATAAAGTGGAAGAAGATGGGCATGGATGTTAGCCCGGGGCCAGTCTTCCTCAGCAAAAAGAGGAGGATTGGCATTGGATGTTAGCTCAGGGCCAATCTTCCTCACAAAAAAAAAAAAAGGTAAAACAAAACCAGTGAAACTTCAATAATGTACTTCATTTAACCCAATTCATCCAAAATATCATTTCAACATATAATCAATATAAAAACATTATTAGTGAGATACTCTATGGTCTTTGTGTTAAATCTCTGAAACCCAGTGTATTTTTTAATATGTTTGGGCTGGCCAGCTCTCAAGTGCTCAAGAGCCCCAGGTGACTGGCGGCCGCCATATTGGACAGCGTGGGTCCAGTGCTAAGAGCAAGGCTCTCCATAGCTGGAGGCAGGGCCACAGGCAAGTCCCTGACTCTTCCGCACTGGGTTTGCCTATCTATAATGAGACAAGATGATTCCTAAGAGCTTTTCTAGCCCTTAAGGTCTGGAGAGTTCTGTCTCTTTTTTCCTAAGAAAGGTGAATACCTTTCTTATGTATGTATGTATACATACATACATAGATGGATGAAAGAAAGAACGAATGAATGAACACAGGTCAAATCATGGGTTACTGTCGCTGATGCCATCATCTGGCTAGGAGCAGAAGGAGAGGGAGCGAAGGTAGAGCAAGCCTGCTGTTCTAATTTCCAGGATGGGAACGTCTCCTTAGAGCAGCACCATAACTTGAAAAGGAGGGATGAAAGGAAAAGGAAGCTGCTGTTGTGAGTTCCATGTGGCCAGACACATCATCATTATTTATAGGACAAATGAAATTCATAATCTAGTTGTCCCATTATAACCGCCTGAGAATTTAAAATTGATTGGCAATAAATTCAAGGCAAACATCACCTGGGCATAGATTGTAGATTCAAAGCATCTGTTATTATTGATTTATTTGACACTGTTCTTTAGTACATATACAGTTAGTTTTTTAAGGCAATTTGCTTCTTAGGAAAGCTATGGAGGGAAAATATTAAAATGTCAAACAGCAGAGGAAATCAAGTTGGTGTGAAAGTTCAGCTGAATGAAATTATAATACATTTTCATGCTATGGATTCACATGACTTGCCCAAATTCCTAGCTGGGCTGTTTGAAAACCTCCTAATGTTTTTAAAGACTGAGATGATAAGAAATCTGCAAAGATGTTTCTTTTACTTTTCATACACCAAAAATAAACAACTTTATATCGAGTCTCAATAAATCGTGACTCGATATAGACCTCCTAATCCCGACTCCAGGGTAGAACGAAAGCCGTGCAACAGCCGTGACGTTACCTGGTAAGACGCTGCGGTTATCCACACACATGGAAAGGATGCGCTCGTACACGAGCTTTCCTGGGGACAAAAGGACAGATGGTCATGCTCTTCAGGAGCAAACACTAAATAAACGTTTGCTAATTAGGGACATGGCGATGGCATCACCCAGACGAGCTTCCACTTGTGATCGTATGCTGCCACCTGGTGGGACAAAGTTTAAGCCACATTTCTTTTGTTTTTTTGTTTTTGTCTTTTACTTGCTGTGAAAGGCAGGAAAGTGATTCTTCTCCCCTTAGAGTCTTAACTGAAACTTAGGGCCAAAGGAGGCTCAGGCACCTCCATCTACGCAATGGAGAATGGTCCACCTCACACTCGAGGCCAGAAGCTGCAAACAGGCAGCCCAGGGGCCGAGTCCAGCCAGGGATCCATTTTGTTTGGTCCACAACACGATGGCCCACAAAGTGTTCTAACATTTTTTGGATTAGCTGCCAACAGATAAAAATTGGGAGAATTCACGTGAAAAACTGGATTTCCTGTGTCTTCATGTACTGTGTGCCACAAATGGCTCATGCCCATGCAGGATAAAAATGAGCTCAACAGATTAGTAGCTGCCCCTGAAATAGCAAATATACTACTCAGTTTGCCACAGTCTCCGCTGCTCCCTCCTGTCTCTCATCAACAGCCTACTTCACTTATTTATATGATCTGCCTGGTCCTAGAAGCACTGCAATTTGAGATTTAACTATATATAGCAAGTTCTACAAGGGCAGAGAGGTGTGTCTGTTTTGTTCACTGACATATCCTCAGTCCCTAAGATCAGTGCCTAGCATACAGTGGGTGCTCAATCTTTGCTGGATGGATGAACATATTTTAGGTTGTGTGGGTCACAGGTCACTACTGCAACTCCTCAACTCTGCTGCTGCAGCTCAAAAGCAGCCATAGACAATATGTCAACAAATGAATGTGGTTGTGTTCCAATAAAACTTTATTTACAAAAACACGTGGGCAGTCTGGACTTGGTTTACAGGCCAACCCCTAACATAGCACAAAAAGCTTTATTTACTCTGTGCATGTATTTTGGAAAATGCTATCAATATTCAAGGGATAAAAATTATAGTTCTGTTCATTTCTGGACCTTCCCAAATCACCTTTCATGTCAAAAGTATTTCCCCATGCTCATTTTTTTCCCCATGACCCCATCAATCAGGACAGTAAGGAACCACACACACCTTGTTCATACATGGAAAAAGAGACAGGAAGGTTATAAGGACCATTTCTGGTCAAAGAACTTGAGATCCAATGACATCATCAAGAAATGACAGAATGCTAGAATTACGTGCACGAAGCCAGCCAAGCGAAGAGGACCCAGGTGCCTCTGCCAGTATGGACCACTTACATTACAATCACCTCAAGACACCTGCTGCAAATTACATTCCTGGGGCCCTGGGGCCCACCTCAGAGCCAGTGAAAAAGAACCTCTTAGGGGGTGAGGCCCAGGAATATGAATTTTGAGTAACCTTGCTAGGGAATTCTCATCCACACCAAGCGTGAGAACCACTGATTTAGGCAGGCACCACGGGTCTCTGAGCTAAAACTTGCCTTGGGTGTGGGGATCTCTAGAAACTGCGAAAAGCCTCCTCCCCCTCTAAGCCAGTGGTTCTCAACCTTGGCTGAACACTCAGAGCACCTGGGGCTCCTGACAATATGCTGACGCCTGTGTCCATCCTCAGAGGTCCTGATGTAAATGGTCTGGGGTGCAGTGTGACCATCCGGAGCGTTGTGAAAGCTCCCCAGGTGTGCAGCCAAGGATGAGAACCATCGATTCAATTTAAAGATTCCCATGGAGCCTCAGAGAATAAGCCCCAGTTCTCAAAGCCACCTGCCTTCGTCCTCCGGGCAGGAAGTGTTTGGTTACCCTGCAGCCGTGGTCTCCCCACGGCAGCCACAGCTGGTGCCAGAGGCCTCCTCCGAGATGAGCACACAGAACCCCCAGCACTGCGACTGCGTGCAATTCCACCTCGGGCCATCACAGCAAGCCACGCTGGGCAGCCGTGTAACTTCTCACCTCCCATGCTGTGTGCACAGGCCTTAAGAGCACAAAACATCTTTACTTCCTCTACAAAAACCTTGCCATCTCTCTAAAACTAGCTTTCTTTAAAAAACCAAAAAACCTGATTTTTATATTCACCTTCATATTCTAAGGGACCGTTAACTACAAAATCATTTTTGGCCAAACGAGTTTGGTGAATTTTTCTTCCTTTGTTAAGTTAGTGGACAACTGTTTTGACAAATAATACCCGATCCTAGATTTACTTCCTTTCTTGATTCACATTTTTATAAATCAAGATACTAAAACAGATAAATAACGACAGTGATAGGAGTTAACGTTTTCTGAGCACTTACTTAGTGCCAGGCACTGTTCAGAGTTGTGTACCCTGAGCTCTGCCACACGGCTCTGTAGGCGGAGAGGCAGGCATGGGACACAGGCAGGGACTCCAGGGCCCAGCTCTGTGCTCGCTGCCTCTCATGAAATTCCAACAGAAGTCCAGCACGCACACCCCGCCTGCAGACGCCCGGGCCGTGTCCCACACCCTGCCCAGAAACATGCTCCAACCCTCGGTCAGTCAGGTCAACAGCCACTACACACCTGCCCCGTACCGCCGCACACCTTCCTATGGAACAGACAGCACTGACAACGCATACGAGGGGGGCCTCAGCACCCCGAGGTCCCACCCAAGCAAAGCTGAGTTCCATCCACTCCTTGTTTAAAAGGTGGAAACTGCTCATTAGCCCCAGAGCATAAAAAGCCTCCTTGACGCAGGCCGCCTCACAGGCCTGAGGAATGTTATTCACAAAGATTCAGACAATGGTACGGCTGGGAACTCCACCCAAAGTGGAGAGGAGGGAGGGAAGTGCTGAGAGCAGGTAGCTCATCCCAATGTTTGGTTTCCAATAGGAAAAGCGTTCCCACGGCTCAAAATTCAAAAAGGCTGCAAAGGTATTGAACCAAGTTTCTCTCTCAGCCCATCCCCATCCACGCCCTCTGAGGGTTCCCACTTTTATTAGCTTTTTGGGTATCCTAATGTTTCCTTTTTTTTTTTTGGTGAGAAAGATTGTCGCTGAGCTAACCTCTGTGCCAATCTTCCCCCATTTTGTATGTGGGACACCTCCACAGCATGATTTGATGAGCGGTGTGTGGGTCCGCACCCGAAATCTGAACCCTCGAACCCTGGGCAGCCATAGCAGAGCACGCAAACCTAACCACTATGCCACCAGGCCAGCTCCCCTTCTAATGTTTCTTTAGACAAATACAAGTGAATATGAACAAGTATTCTGATTTTTCCTTACACAAAATGGAACATACTCTGTAGCTGTTCCACAGCTTGACTTTGTTACGTGACGACATACCCTGGAAATCTTTCTGTACCAGAACACAGAGCCCATCCTCATTGTTAGAGGCCTCCTAGTGCTCCAACATACACACGTACCATCATCTATTTAACTGGTCCCCTACTGATGGCCAGTTGGGTTATTTCTAATCTTCTGGAATCACAAATGGGATGAATTCCCAGAGGGGAAGTTGCTGGATCAAAGGAGAGCAGAGTGTCCCCCATGAACCAACTACAAGAGAAACAGAGCTGGTGCTTTGACTGCATAGAGAACTCAATTTGAGTCCCAGCTCTGCACTTACTACCCTTGTGACCTCGGGCAAAAGCTACTTTACTTCTCTGTGCCTCAGCTTCCTCATCTGTGAAATGGGGACAATTACAGACCCCACCTCACAGGGATGTTACAAAGATGATGTGACTTAATATATAAAGCACCTAGGACAGTCAGGCCAGAGGACGTTATTTGTTGAGTGTTTATCACCGTTATTTAACTCCCAGCCCAGCTACTTTCTGGGCTACAGCAAGGAGGCAGGCATCTGCACGACATGCCCGCTTGCCGAGGTATGAGACTGGGATGTGCCAGCAGAGGCTGGCAGAATGGCTGCCCAAAATTCTCGCAGGGTTAACGTCTGGATCTAGCCAGGCCGGCAGGTTAGAAACTGGACCTCATCGGTGTCCCCAGGCTAGTCTCGCTCAGGGGCGCTGACTTGTGCAAAAGGAACTGCCAGGAGGCTGGTGAGGGAAACCAGAAGGCCAGTGTGATATTCACCACGAGAAACAGAACGGTCAGGAGAACCAGACACAGCCACTGGCCTCTGGCCCTGACCGACGTCCTCGCTCCCTGGAGGCAAGCTGTGCATGAGGACAAGTCGAGGCCCAAGGGGTGTATGACCTGATATCTACTCTGAGGGCCTAACGCACCCATCCATTCTGGATCACTTCTCCCATCTCCACTGCCTCCCCGGGTCTAGGCCACACTCATTCCTCAACTGAATGGCTGCAGTGGCCTCCTAACCGTGCTCCCTGTTCCACCCCCGCCCTACAGTCTAGTCTCAACCCAGCTGCCAGAGGGAGCCCATTAAAACCCAAATCGGATCGTGTGCCTTCTCTGCTTAACACCCCGTGACTCCTCACAGCCTCAAGGTCATAGCGAAAGTCGTTCCAATGGCCTACACGGCCCGCCAGGGCTCTGGCCATGTCAGCTCCTGCGCCGCCAGCCCCTCGCTCATCCCATTCCAGCCATCCTGGCCTCTCAGGTCCCCAACCCTGCCAGGCCTGCTCCCACCCCAGGGTCTCTGCACTGGCCGTTCCTTGGCCTAACCAGGCCCCATGTCTCCAGCATGTGGCTCATCTCTCACCTCCTTCAAGTACTTGCTCACATCTCACCTTCTCAGCGAGGCCTCCTCTGACCCGCTATTTAAGAGTGCAGCCCGCCCCCACCCCTGCCCACTTCCCTCAATTCCCCTCACCCTGCTCTGTTTTGTTCTGCCTTTCCTCCATACAACTGATCATCATCTAACATACAATCGGGTTTATTTATTTGTTCCGTAAATCCTCTCTCACCAGCACATAAGCCCACAAAGGCAGGGATTTTTGTCTCTTATTTGCTGACACATCCTCTGCGCCCAGCAGAGCGCCTGACGCCACCTCTCCGGGTCATGTGAACCCCACAGGTCCTGTCTTTCAGCTGGGACATCTCTTCTTTTAGCCCAGTCAGCTCCCACTCCCCTTTCTTCTGGCCACAGCATCACCTTTCCTCTTTCGGGGTGACCCAGGCCTGGACAATCTGCATATTTCATCCCCGATACCATGAGTGGTTCAGGGACTGACGTGTAATCCAAGCCAGGACAACAGGACGGAATTCTGCTGGAATGCCTGGAAAAGAGAAGTTCTTCCTTGTCCTGGGAAGCTGACAGAAGCTGCAGCCACGTTGTGGAGTTCAAGAATGAAACAAACCCAAGGGAAAGTACTAGAAAAAGCCAAGGTCCTGAAGACACTGTTTGAGTTCCTAACACCAGCTGTACCTGAAGCCAGAAACTACCCCCTGGACTTTTCAACATAAGTCAATAAAGACCCCTTTTCCAAGACTAGTATGAGTTAGGTTTCCTATCACTTGTTCTAGCTAACACACTCAGGTCTCTGGGCCCCTCTGCAGAAATAAATGGGTCTCTCCGAATGACATCTTGTTTTCTGACACATTAGATGTTTCAATGGGATACAGATAAGACTGGCTGGGTTGGGAGCTCATTGGTCCTTCCTCAGTAAGACAGCAAATGTCTATTGTGACCTCCTATGTGTTCAGCTCTCAGAAGATGACTCTGTTTCCTAGCTCTTGCGGCCACCTCACTTAACATCACATATGGCCTAGAGGGCTGCATGGTTTGGGCAAACTGTTAATGGCAGGATTCCCTGGCCACTGACCACTGCCAAGCAGCACAGAGGCCTCCTGTTTCTCCAGAGGGTTCCAGGTTATTCTCTTCAGTCTAGACCTCTCTGCTGGGCTCCCAAAGATCATTGTGCCTGAGGGGCAGAGCGTGGGACAAGGGGCAGCAGGAAGACCTCATAAGAGCCGCAGCCATCACTCAGGCAGGAGAGGACTGTGGCTTGGACTAAGGTTTTAACAGTGAAGACAGAGAAAAATGGACAGATTAGGGAGAGTCAGGAGGCTGAACTGAAGAACTTGGTGATGGACCGGACGTGTGGCATAGGGGAGAAGACTGCGATTTCCAGCTTGTGCAACAGAGTACACGGTGCTGTCACTCCCCGAGGCAGAAACCCACTGGAGGTAAGGAAGGGGCCGGGAAGAGATGCAGAGCTCAGTTCTGACAAAGTAAGTTCCAGATGCCATGAGATGGTGATGGACCACAGCTGGTTTAGACAGGACATGAGCCACCCAGCTCACCCCGCTTCACTCACTCACTTTACTAGCCTATCAGAAGGTCAGAAGAAATATAATTTAATATTTTTTCAAAAATAGCACCCTTGCTAATGAGCATGGCGGGGGCTGGTTTGGTCTCTCTCAAAGTTTACCTAATTACTTAAACCACCACAGAACCTAATTTAAAGCAACTCTACCGCCCAACTTCGGGCAAAACAAACGTATTTCCTAGATCTAAGATGGATATGACTATACTCACCAAATGTATCGAGTATGTCGGTGATGAGGACAAACTTGCTTGGATAGAACTGGATAACGCTGGTGTCCGAAAGAAGCTTTGAACACTAGAAAAAGAGAGGAGAAAATTCACTCTGTTGTGTCTGACTTTGTCGGAATGCTCCAGGCCTGGAAAATTAAGGATTTCTACAAATAGGTACAGGTGCTTACATGTGCCAAGCCGTGTGCCAGACATTGGAGATATAATGATAAGCAAAACCACTGTGCTTCAGACAAAGAGAGCCAGGCTCTGCTCACGTCAGAGCCTCGTAAGAAGACAGTACCACCTCCCTTCAGGAAAGCCACAGGACTGAGCAACCTTCTCCAGAAGGGTCTCTGCTCATACACTGAACTAGGCCAGCATTCAAAGCCACCGAGGGAAGTCAATGACACCTCTCCCATCAGTGACCTCGCAGATGACTCAATCTTCGTTCCAAGTGCTTTTCAGCATGGCTTCCTCTGGTTTATTTCAGGATGTTCTCGATTCTTAAACATTCTTTTCTATGAGTGACCCCATAAGTAAATCTCCAGGGTTTCTTAAACTAGCACCTATTATTTATACTCGCTCCCACATTTTCCTCTAAAAGGGACAGGACAAGCTTCAAGTACATGTTTCTCCAGAACTATGATCTTCAACGCTGGGAACGTTTCAGCTTTTCAGGGAAAATTGCTCAATCCCCATGCTGTCACTCACACCAGAGGGCCATCAACACGTTCAGGACTCTTAATGGAAGAGTGTAGCCACACAAAGTGGCCCCAAACACCCCAGATTAAGTCATCTTTTATAACCAGAAACAAAAAATCTACTCCTATTTTGAAGAACTAAATTTAATGCCTTGAAGTCTTTACAAATTCAAAAGTCAACATGAGGAACTAAATCACCTTGCCATATTTTGTCATTCCAACGGTTGGCTCTCAGATAAACGTCACTTAAAAACAAAAAATATTTGGACATTTAGAAAGGGTCGTTTAATATGCATTTCCAACGTGCAGAGAATGGTTAGAAAGTTCATCTGATCAAGAGGCAGACTGACGTGTTTTCAGTTTAGCGTTGTTACCCCATCTCTAAATTCTTAGATTTACCAAGGTTCTCCTTAGCATTACACTCCTAAAAGTAAAAATGTGTCTAATTTGTGAAACATCCTCTTACAGTCCAAATGTTATTGGGGGTGGGGGCGGAGGGGTGAGGGGGACGTAAGCTGTGAAAACAACGGTGTTGACACCAAACGTGGCATTTGGATGGACCTAGAACTCCCATCTCCTGGCGCCTTGTTTTGTGTTTTTCACATGCCCTTGATGAGAGCTCCAACTTAAACAATTACCCCGTGAGATTTCAGGGCTTGGAGAAAGCAAACAACTCAGAATCCTAGAGACTGTTTACAGTACACAGCTCTTGGTTCCTAGGGATGTGACATCTCCCAATTCCTACCCAGGGCCCCTCGGAGATGAGTTACTGCCCACTGGTGAGGTGAGAGAGAGAGAATTCAAACAGAAGATTGCAAATTAAACACAGCTGGCCTTTCCCAACATCCGTGCACTGATTTTTTCCCCCACGCTGGTGTCACAGAACATATATTTTATAAAGGATAACAGGAAGCAGAATTTTTCTAATCCAAAGTTAAAGTCATAATAATGTTATGAATCGAAGTTACCTTTTAAATCACTATTTTGAAGATTCCACACTTTTTTAAAGCTTTGCTGCAGTTTCCTAAACTTATGCAGTAAGAATCAGGCACCCCAGGGTGTGTTTTAAAACACATTCTCTGCTCTACTCCAAACCTGGTCACAACTTCCAGCCGAGACACCAAGGAAGAGTATTTTTAACAAGGGCTCCAGGGCACAGCGGCACTGAAACAAGCCCGGGCCCCACTGGGTTCGTGACCTCCACAACCCGCAGCACTCTCTGGACGGACCGACCATTCTACAAAGTGTTCTCAGCTTCGGAACCATCTGGGGAGCTTTTAACAATAATAGCGCCTGGGTCCTACTCCCAGAGAGTCTGATTAAACTGGTCTGGGGTGTAGCTTGGACTCAGATTTTTTAAAGCTCCCAAGTGATTCTAATGTGCAGCCGAGGTTGAGAACCATTGTCATACACATTTCCTGAATGAGTGACTGATAAATTACTCTGCCTGAAATACTTGCTATTAAACTTATTAACATTGCTGGAAAAATACTAAAGGATGTTTTTCATTTATTTCCAATTAGCAACATTCTAGAAGGACACTAGCAGTTTCTAAAATTAAGTTAGGATTAAAAAAATATATCTGAATAACCAAAGCAAATGGATAAATTAAAAGATAACCTATGGCTGGGTACTACGGAAGAATGAATGGATGGATGGAAGGAAAGAGACTAAATAATCAGATGACAATTACTACCCAGAATACATGAAAAAATCCTAAAAATTGTGAAAATTAATAAAAGGAAACCTCCTTTCAAATGGAGTCAGGGAGGCGGCCCGGTCACATAGTGGTTAAGTGCACACTCCACTTCAGCGGCCCGGAGTTCACAGGTTCGGATCCGGGGCATGGACCGACGCACTGCTCGTCAAGCCATGCTGTGGCGGCGTCCCATATAAAGTAGAGGAAGATGGGCAGGGATGTTAGCCCAGGGCCAGTCTTCCTCAGCAAAAAAGAGGAGGATTGGCATCGGATGTTAGCTCAGGGCTGATCTTCCTCACAAAAAAAATAAAATAAAATGGAGTCAGGAGGCCAGAAGGGGGAGCTCCCATGCAGTACCACTTGAGGTCAAATACAGGAAAGAGAGTCCATTATAGATCCCAACAGAAGGAAGTTAACAGGAAAGAACTGTTAATTACAGAAAGAAATGTTCATTGCATCACAAACAGAAATCCACTACACCAGCAACTAGCCAATGAGAACGTGTCATCACCCTGAATTCTTGCTTTTCTCCAATAGACTTTCATTCAAAACAACCCATCCCAACTTCCTCCTTTTTCTCTGTAAAATACCGTTCCTCTTCCTTGTTTGTTAGATTTGCCTATGGTCTGCCACAGCATGCACATCTCAAATTACAATTCTTTGGCTATTCCCGAATAAACTCATTTTGCTGGTAAAATAACTAGCTGTTTTATTTTTAAGGCTGACAAAATCAACAAGAAAAATACAAATAACATAATGGAAAAATGAGCAACAGGAATCCACAAAAGACATTTTACAAAAAAGGAAATTGTAATGGCCAATAAACATGTGAAAAGATGCTCAATCTTATAATCAGAAAACTACAAATTAAAACCACAATAAAATATGATTTTATTACCTCTTAAATTGGGAAAATTAAAACAGAAAGTCTGCTCGTACCAAATGTCGGTAGAATGCTGAACAGCACAGACTCTCATACCCCACTGCTGGCACAGCATCCACTTGGAAAGTGACTTGGCATCGCCTGGTAAAGGCTGAAGAGGCTCAGGCCTACACCTGAGCAACTCTACTCCTAGGGACGGGCCTTCATCTAGAGAAAGGCCAGCAGACACGAACAAGAGTGTACACAGCAACATCGTTCATAACAATGAAAAAAGAAAAAGAACAGGAAAGAACTAGATGCCCATCAACAGAATGAAGGATACATAATTTATGCGCCAGGAGACTCACTATTGTTAAGATGGCAGATCTCTCCAACTCATCTACAGGGTCAATGCAATCCCTATCAAAACCCCAGAAGATTTGGGGTTTTCGCAGGGGAGTGGGTAGAAATTGACAAGATGATCCTAAAAATCATATGGAAATGCAAAGGACCCAGAAAAGCCAAAACAATTTTGAAAAAGAAGAACAAAGTTAAAAGATTTATGCTACCCAGTTTCAAAACTTACCATAAAGCTACAGGAATCAGGACAGTATGGTATTGGCATGAGGACAGACTTACAGATCTATGGAATAGACTTGAGTCCAGAAATAAATCCTTATATTTATGGTCAACTGACTTTTGACAAAGGTGCCAAGATAATTCAACAGGGAAAAGCTAGTCTCTTCAACAAATGCTGCTGAGACAAGTGGATATCCATACGCAAAAAAAAAATAAAATAAGCTTAGACCCTTATACTACACACAAAAATTAATTCAAAATGGACCACAGACCTAGATGTAAGAGCTAAAACTATAAAACTTCTAGAAGAAAACGGAAAAAAATTCTCATGACCTTGAGTTAGGCAGAGTTTTTAGATACAACTCCAAAAATGAGCCAAAAAAGAGACGACTGATAAATTGGACTTCATTAAAATTAAAAACTTCTCTACTTCAAAAGACACCATTATGAAAATGAAAAGACAAGCCAGAGACTAGGAGAACATTTGTAGATCATATGTTTGATAAAGAACTTGTATCAAAGATATATAAAGAATTGTTACAACTCAACAAGAAGATAAACAACCTGATTTTAAAAATGGGCAAGTGTGACGGGGCGGGCCCAGTGGTGTAGTGGTTGAGTTCACGTGCTTCACTTTGGCAGCCCAGGGTTCACAGGTTCAGATCCTGGGCGCAGATCTATGCACCGCTTATCAAGCCATGCCGTGGCGGCATCCCACATATAAAGTAGAGGAAGATGGGCATGGATGTTAGCCCAGGGCCAATCTTCCTCAGCAAAAAAGAGGAAGATTGGCAATGGATGTTAGCTCAGGGCTAATCTTCCTCATCAAAAAAATAAAGGGCACGTGCTGAATAGACATTTCACTAAAGAAGATATAAAAATGGCCAATAAGCACATGGAAAGATGCTCAACATCATTAGTCAGTGGGGACACACAAATTAAACCACAATGAGACACCACTTCAAACCCACTAGGATGGGTATAATCAAAAAGACAGACAACACATGTTGGAAAAGATGTGGAGGAAATGATCTCATACTCTGCTGGTGGGAATGCAAATGGCATAGCCATTGGAAAGCAGTTTGGCCATTTCTCAAAAAGTTAAACATAAACTTACTATATGACTTAGCAAATCCACTCCTAGGAATCTACCCAAGAAAAATGAAAACCTATGTCCATACAAAGACTCGTATGTAAATGTTCATAGTAGCATTATTCATAACAGCCAGAGTGGAAACAACCTAAATGTCCATCAACTTGTTAATGGATAAGTAAAATGTGGTTATCCAGAGTGGAATACTATTCAGCAGTAAAAAAGGTATAAAGTACTGATACTACAACATGGATGAACCTCAAAGACACTATGCTGAGTGAAAGAAGCCAGATGCAAAAGATTACATATTTAATGATCCCATGTACACGAAATGTCCAGGAAAGGCAAATTTATAGAGCCTATAAAGCAGATCGGTGGTTTTCTAGGGCTAGAAGTGACAGCAGTTTGACTGCAAACAGGCTTAAGGGAATTTGGGGAGTGGGGCTATGAAAACGTTCTAAAACCGGATTGTGTAATAGTTGCACAACTCTGTAAACTTACTAAAACTCACTGAATTGTACACTTACAATGGTGGATTTTAGACTATGTAAAATATATGTCAATAAAGCTACAAAACCAAACAAAAAAACCTTCCTGCAAAAGCAAATAAAGTGAACTGTGCTCATTTCTCCATACTCTGCACCTTGACTATCTTTTTTGGATAAGAAGGCAGTCTTGAAAGTACAGTCAGCCCTTGTTACCCACAGGTCCTACACGCACAGAGTCAACCAACCATGCCTACAATGGCTGCGTCTGTACTGAACACGTACAGACTTTATTTTCTTGTCATTATTCCCTAAACAATATAGTATAACAACTATTTACATAGCAATTACAATGTATTAGGTATTATAAGAAATCCGGGGCCAGCCCGGTGGTGTAGCGGTTAAGGTCAAGCGCTCCGCTTTAGTGGCCCGGGGGTCGCAGGTTTGGATCCTGGGCGCAGACCAACGCACTGTTTGTCAAGCCATGCTGTGGTGGTGTCCCATATATAGTAGAGGAAGATGGGCACGGATGTTAGCCCAGGGCCAATCTTCCTCAGCAAAAAGAGGAAGATTGGCCACAGATGTTAGCTCAGGGCTGATCTTCCTCACCAAAAAAAAAAAAAAAAAATCCAGAGATGATTTAAAGTATACGGGAGGATATAAATACTTTGCCATTTTATATAAAGGATTTGAGCATCCTTGGATTTCAGGTATCCACGGGGGTCCCAGAATCAATCCCTTGTGCATACTGAGGGACGACTGTATTGAAAGTAAAATAATTACTATTGACTAGATGTGGAGTTAATTAAATACCTTCATGGTTATTTTCTTTGAGAAGACACAAATCAAATCTCCTCCAGATGTAAAACTCTCAGAAGTCACAGTTCTATACTACAAGGCTCTATGGAGAGATGTTGCCAATAAAAATATTTTGAAGAAGGGCTTGTTAGTTGTTTTCTCACTTGAGGCACTCAGCAAGCAGCCCCATCACGTGCATCCAGGACGAGAGGACCTTCTCCAGGAGCATTTACTTTGTAAACTAACAACGGTGATGGAAGAGGAATGGGCTCGGGTTTGCCTCTGTCACGAAACACTAAGATAGCACCTGCCAGACAACATGCCATCTTAAAAGACCTCCAGCGCCCAGCGTAAAGACTCCCAGGCTCCCCTCAGCCTCTCTCCCGAGAAGCAGGTGAGAAAACAAATGTCCCATTGCCATGACCCTGAACAAGAACGGGATCCGTCCTTTTCAACTAAAATGGCTCTTCAGAAATGCTTTGTTAACTGTGCTTGAAAATCATAATGCACACATTATTCCTTTTACAGTGTGCTTCTGAGCACGTTTTGCCAAATCAGGATGATCTTAGGGGTCAAGAAACAGAACAAGCTGTTTTTCTTACAGAACTGGCTCTTGTGATCCAAAAGTTTTTATTGGATCAACAAATTCATTAACAAAGAGGATGCAACAAATGTACCTCTCCTAACACTGTAAACATGTTTTCTTTGTTCCATAATTATGCAGAATATGACCTAAAAATGCACATATTAGAGACACACAACCATTAGTCCCACAGATACAAAGCTCTGGTCAAGGAAATCCAAAAGACAGTTGTCCAATCTCTAGTCTGCACAAATCGTAAATATGTCGGGGATTGCACTGGGGCCAATGAACTGCATAACCCAGGGGCATCATTAATTCTGTAATTTAGGGTGAATTTCCTGGAACTGTGCAGTGCACAACCTGTGCAACTGCACATGGTGGCCCTGGGATTAGCCATCTCATAAAAACACAGAGTCACAACCAAGGCTTTCCCAGGAAGTATGTGAAAATGGAACAGATAAAAAAAGTAGAGTGAGACCCTGAAGGCAGGCCTCTGAAAACCCTAATTATCTACAAAGGAGTTTTACATAGGAAATGTTGGGAAAAAAAAAAAAAAAACACTAGACCTGACCTGGATGACTATTTTTAGAGCCTTCACTTTCTGGTCCGAGGCCCAGGCGTCCTTCAGCGACTGGTTAAGCTCCTCTATGCGGTTCACGTAATCCTGTTGAGTCAAATTCAACAGCTCCTTTTGGGATCCCTGTGGGCAGAAAGTAGGAGGGTGTAGGCACAAAAGGAAAAACATTGCTGGACCACCACCCCCATGAACAACACTGAGTACTGGCTGAGCCTCCATCTTCCTCATACCCGCACCAGGGCTGATAGTTTCCTCTTGGGATCAAACAGGCTCTTTGAGTTTTCTGCAAAGATGGGCAGAGTGCAGCGACTGAGAGACTGGGCTTGGAGGCAAGTCAGACCCAGGCCAGCTCCCAGCTCAGCCTCTTACCAGCAGTAAGACTCTGGGTGAGCTGCTTTCCCCCAGAGCCGCATCTGTGAACAGGGATAACAGGCCTGAGCTCATTCAACAAATGGTTATTGGGGCCTGGTGCATGCCAGGCAGGGTATACCAGATGCTCGAGACACAAGGTGAGCAAAAAGACACGACTTCTGCACCAACGGGAGTTTAAGGTACAGACGAGACGGACATTAATACCAACGGAGATAAACGCTCGGGAGGAGACAATTCTACGAAGACACATGGCACATCCACTGAATCTGAGGTGTTCACTGTAAGAAGCACAACTGTTTCATGTACCAGCAAGGAAGAAAAACTGCTGATCGTTGATAGGCACCAATTGAGGGGTACAGCCCAACGTCAGGGATAGTCAAATGTGGGGGAAAAGGTCCACCTTAGAATGGAAGAAACATGGTAACAAAGGAACAGACTCTAGATGGGTGGTCAAGCATGGTTTCCTGGGGCCAGCCTCAGTGGTCTAGTGGTTTAAGTTTGGCGTGCTCCACTTTGATGACCCGGGTTCGGCTCCCGGGCACGGGTCCCGGGCACGGACCTACAGCACTTGTCAGTCAGCGGCCATGCTGTGGTGGCGGCTCACATAAAAAAAAAAAGAAGAGGATTGGCAGTGGATGTTAGCTCAGGGTGAATCTTCCCCAGCAAAAAAAAAAAAACTGGTTTCCCAGAGAAGTGATGCTTGACTCTAACTCTCAGTGGTGTACAGGTGTTAACTAGGCAATGGGTGGGGGGGATGTTCAGGACAGAGAGCAGACCCCAGCGAAAACCTGGGGCACAGGAGATCGAGATGATCACACAGATAAAATAACAATGTACGCAAACACTTGGCACAGCCCCTGGCACACAGTACATGGTCATTAACACTCGGCTACTGTTAAGACGCTATTTCCCCAGCTCACAGGAATAAAGGTCACGCTAATCCACATGAGGAGCCCAGGAACCAAATCGTTTCTATATGAACGTTTCCTGGAATCCACAGTGAAGGACTCTTTATTAAGGAACGACAAGCAGAAGGTGCAGGAAATCTGGGCTGACCCCAACTGGTCACTTGAACTGTGAGACAGGGTCCTCCCTGCCCCTCTGTAGTAGGAGGAGCCACGTGACCAGTCTGGGCAAATGGGCTGTGAGCAGAGGGGCATGTGTCCCTTGTGGGCTGAGGCAGTGAAAAGTGCCCCTTTCTTCCACTCTGCTGTGACAACCCTGGAAGCTGTCTGCTGAGATGGCAGCATCACGAGATGCTGGTGTGTCTGTCACCTGCACTGGATGGGTAACGTGAGGAAGAAACAAACCTTTGCTATGTTAAGCCACTGAACTACGGGGGTTCATTTGTTACCACAGCATAGCCCAGCCCTACCCTGATTAATACGCTATGTTAACCCGGACCACGGGGCAGCCTCCTGCTGCTGTGAGCAGGGAGAAGCAAGGAAACCAGCCTGCAGGAAACAATGGAGAGCTAGAAAGGGCTCAGTGACAGGAGCCCACACAGCACCAAGAGGGACAGAGGACAGCTGACAGGTTTCTGGCGGTTCTTCAGTTCCTGGTTCCAGGCCACTGTGTCCTTGGGTTCAGGGTAATGCCCCTGTATCCTTCAATATAGCCCCCATTTTCAACCTGAGCCAGCTCAAGTGACGTTCTGACACTCACAGACTTTGATCCAAACCCTCAGCAACTCCCTTCCAACCAGCCAAGGTCGACTGATGCCACGCAGACCGAGGCTCCCAGGCACCCTAACTCAAAATGTGTCCTTTCTGAATTGGGAAATAAGATATTGGCCTATTAGACTCTGCTGAGCACCCAACAGCTCTGACCTCAGAGCTGGGAAGACCCTGAGTCCGGGGGCAAGATGCAGGACAGAGCGATGGCAACCGCCATGATACGGCCCTCTGTGGATTTCAAAGCATCCCCAGGGTCCACACAACTATATTCTTCATCCCCTTTCTACAGGTGAGGAAACGGGTGTAGGAAAGGTGAAGCCCCAGTGGTGCCCTGTTACCAAGCAGCCGAGCTAAGGCCTCCAGACACAGGATGATGGTGACAGTGGCTAACACGCAGCTCACGTACCTCGGGCCACTGCTCTTCTAAGCACCTCATCCCTGTAACTCATTTAATCCCTGTAACAACCCTAAGAGGCAGGGACTATGTAGCATCCCCATTTTATAGAGAAGTAAACTGAGGCACAGAGCTGTTAAGCATCTTGCCTGAAATCACAGAATTACCCAACAGCAGAGCCAGGATTCAAACCCATGCAGTCATGCTCCAGAGTCTGTCCTCTTACTCACGATGCTATGCTGCTTCTCTAAAAAATATTCCAGAGGACACAAACTCACCCATCTCCAGGGGCCAGGTTAGTGAGTGAATCAGGACAGGGAGGAAATGTGCAACCCGGACAGTGCATGCCCAGCTGAATGCAAGAATGTGGGTACACAATCATCAGGTGGATTTCAAGAGAAGCCAGGAATCTGGATTTATATGTTCAATTTACAAATTTTTAAGAGTTGGCAAATGAGCCATGTTTTTTAAAAGCATGTGCAGGCCAATTAAAAGATTCCTGTGGGCCACAGCCAGCCAGCAGAGCGGCCATGTGCAGCCTCTGCAGAAGTGTATGATCTTTATACGGTGGTTCCCAGGGGGATGGCTCCAGCCAGCTTTTCCAGTTAGACCCTGTCCCCAGACGACCTGGGCTTGCTCACGCATCTCAGTGAGAAAAGACGCCTTCAGAAAACCAGCCCAAGGCAGGCTCCTGTGAGCTCGGCCAGCTGCACCGCTGGCATCTTTCTCTGGACCAGTCGGTGCCTCGGGAGGACCGAGCACAATGTGCGGCTCCAGAATTCATCAAAGAGCAGCCACCAAGACTGATCTCACTTGGCAGAAGAAACGAAAGCACCGCTCCTCTCCGGGCTCAGCACATGACCTGCTCACCTCCTCAAAGTCATCCAGCTCCTCCAGCCTGGTCCGAACCTTCTCCGACATTGCGGATGTGGCGGTCCCGGCTTTGCCTAAACAGAATGGATTCATGTCACACAGGTGGCTTTCCTCTGTCACCAATACCCCCAAAGGAAGGCATCTTTCACTCTACACTTCATCATGAATAAAGAGGCCAGGGAACAATTTCATTACAGAAAACTCTCCGAGATTTTGAAAGCAACATCCTTAGTAACCAAAGTTCCATCGGAAACATTTCTGCTCCGAAGCTGCCCCTGGGAGCGCAGCCGGCCAGCCTCAAAAAGGTTCCACTACATTCGATACGTACAAACTCTTCACTGCATCATTTGTTTACTCCTAAAGAAAGGCGGTCCAGCTAAGGATGCCAAAAATCCATCATTTAATTGTTGTCCACGAACAAAAGGCCCTCTCAGGCTAGTACTCAGGGTAGAACTGTTGTACTCCTATACTAACAAAACAACAATCTCACTGTCTGCCCAGAGGTAGAAACACTAGGGTTTCAAAGCCCTCTCTTCAAGCAAACAGGACTAGCTGTGCCTCCTTCCATCATCTGTCAGCACAGTTCTCTCCCTCAGCAGGGACTGGCAGAAAGAAATGAAGGAAAGGACTCCAGGCCGAGAGCCAGCCACAGGGCAAGGCTATCTGTCCAGCTGGCGGCTGCTCTCCGGTGCCTCGTATTTCAGACATGTCCCCATTTTAAGGGGGCTTCTGTTCTACATCTGAGGTCCCTTTACTCCTGCCTACCAAACTCACTCTCCAAGTTTGTCTTTTAAGGCACTGGTTTCTCAGCTGGTATCGACTCACAGACTTGTCTGGGATCAGCTGAGAGCATGGCACTACTGCTGAATTACTAACCACTACTAAAGTAAAGACGTTTCCAAACAGTTTACTTTTACCTTGTTTCTACCTTTTCCTTCCTTTTGAAATATAATACACACAGAACATGCATACATGTACATTTTAACAGATAATTATAAAGCTTTGTAGCCACCACTCGTATTGCCCTGCTGCTTTCATTCACCACTCACTTTAGTTCGTGAAATTGACCCATGTTGTTGCACAGAACTGTGGTTCACTCACTTCCACTGCTGTTTAGTATTTTCCATCATGTGACTATGCCACAAGTTATTTCTTATTCTACTGTCGATGGATGTTTGGGTTGTCTCCTCTTTGGGGCTACTAAGAACAACGCTGCGGTGAACATTTCTGTGCATGGCTCCTGATTCATATATGCGTGCATTTCTTGAGGGCAGTGCTTCTCAACTTCTACAAGAATCACTTAAGGATGTGTTAACATTCTGATTTTCACCAGGTCTGGGGCAGGTCCTGAGATTCTGTATTTCTGATCATGTCAATGCTGCTGGTCCTTGGACCATACTTTAAGAAACACGGATTTGGGTAAAGGTGGAAAGAGCCAGCTGTAACTGTTTTAAGTTTTGCAAGTCACACAGTCTCTGTTGCAACTACTCAACCCTGTCACTACAGCACAAAAGCATCCATCGACAATATGTAAACCAATTGCCATGGTTGTGTTCCAGTAAAATTTTATTTACAAAATCAAACAGTGGGCCAGATTTGGCCTGCAGGGCACAGTTTGCCCATTTCTGATCTAGGGTATATCCTAGCATTGGAATTGCTGGGTCCAAGGGTTGGCCCATATTCAATTTTAACAGATAATGCCAAAATGCTTTACACAGTGGTTGTGTCATTTTACACTCTCACCAGCAATCTATGAGACTTCCTACTGGTCTACATTCTCACCAGCAAGTGCTATCATCAATTTTTTTGATTTTCCCAACTGGTGGACAAGCAGTGGTATGATTTACTTTTTTATGGTTTGGGGGTCACAGTTACACCCATAACAAAAATGCTTCCACTCTCTTGATTTCTTTTGTGCTGTCTCAACCTGCAGAGAATGGGGGAGAGTTGCAGCTGCCATACCAGCAATGTCCACATAAACCAATGTCGTGCTTCTCTGCACCCCGGCAGCATGTGATCCATGTCAGTCATTTCAGAATCACCTGGGAGCTTCAAAAAAGAAATTCCCAGACCCCATTCCTCAGGATTAATTCAACAAGTGGAGTGGGTCCATATTTGTATAAAAGTTCCTCAGGCGACCCTGCTGCACAGCCCATCTGAGAACCCTGGTCCAGAGCTTCTGACCATGGATCTTAGCAGTGGAAATTGAGAACTGCTGTGTTCAGGGATCAGAGGCTGGTAAGACTGAGTGTGTGACCTCCCTCACCAGTGCATCTGCATTTTCACAAGGGATAAAGACTTAAGGCAAAGGAAAGGATCTCTAAAAAGGAGAATTTCATCCGTTCCTCAGCTGGTGAGGAGGTACCTGGAGGGGAAGACCATTGCTCTGTAACTCTAAAATCAAGCAGGGAGCATATGGTTTAGTCCTGGTAACTGATCTGATCTTTTCTTTCATTCATCAACTAAATATGTATTTCAATTCTACCAAGTCTATACATAATCTAGGAAATAATAGCTTCAACTGAATTAATCATCAGGGTTGGATACCACAAACTTTTTCCTTCGTAAAATTATATTAAAGGTAATGGGAGAATTCCCCACCAAACCAGTAACAACAACAAAAACTCACCTTTTTCAGATCCCATAAACAGATTCTGCAGAGGCAAAAAAAAAGGTTAATACTTTTTAAAACTTACTGGATTCTATGACAAAAACACTTAGAAGATACTTAAATTATTATTCAAATAGCACTAAGACAATACAGCCCATCATTTTTCAACAAAGCCATTTACTTATCCAAATGAAAAATTAAAATATTTATTCAAAGGAGGAAAACACAGCTCACTAAAAACTACTGGAGATTCAGACTTCTTCTCAATTCAGGAATCTCAAAGTGAGCCAAGAAACAGCAAAATGCTGATAACAACGGAGTCATGTGATAGCATTTCCTTTACATCAGGGTTTCTCAGCCTCGGCACGACTGACATCATAGGCTGGAAAAATTCTGTTGTTGGGCTGTCCTGTGAGCTGTAGGAGGTTTAGCAGCATCCCTGGTCTCTACTCACTAGACGCGATTGCACCCCCACAGTTGTGACAACCAAAAATGTCTGCAGATGTTGATTGCCATACGTCCTCTGAGGGGTAAAATTACCCCTGCTTGAGAATCACTGCTCTAAATTAACTCAACGCATTCAGAAAATAGGAAGAAAAAATTTTAAATAGTCCAGGAATTCTGCTTGCCTTTCTGCTCAACAAGTACAGCCCCGGGAGAAGGAGGGAAAGGAGAGGTGCTGGGGCACAGCCTTCCTAGTTGCCTGCCGAGTTCACCCCTTCCTCCCGACTCACAGCCCAGATTTCTGAGGGGCACACTGTCCCATATCCCAGCTCCCTTGCATCTGCATATGGCCTGTGACTATCGTCAAGACAAATGGAACCGGACATGTTGAGGGGATTCCAGGAAGTCTCCTTAAATGAGAGAGGGTGCATCTTACTTCCCCCTTCCTCCTTCTAACAACCTGGACGTGAGGTGGCCCTGAACGTGGCAGAGCAGCAAGACAGGAAGAGCTGAATCCCTTATGACTCTGGAGCTGCCATACCAGCCCTGAACCACCCACCTCTCTCTAGACTTCTTTTCAATGTAAAGAGAGAGAAACATCACTCTTCTTTATGTCATCAGGGAGGGCTTCCGTTAGAAGCCGCTGACCCGAGTCCTCAATAACTCAGGCATTAACCTACTTTCCCTAGTTGGTCTCAGCTCTCCTGTGCCCTTCATTATGTGAACAACTGGCTGAGTGGAGACTAAATCTCTATTTCATACGTGTCCCCAGGCACAAGCCGACGTCACCAGTGGGCACCCAAAGAAACAGCACACTTCCAGCTCTGGAAGAAAACCCGGCTCTGCGAGACTCGCTGAGTAACATTAAGAAGTAAACCCTCTCGGGGGTGGCACTCTCCACACTTCATGACTCAGATCTCCTCCAGAGACGGGACTCAGTTGTTCTGGTTCTTTCTCTGAACTGTGCCATACCCGATGTTAACCCATTTTTTGAGAAACCAATCAGCACATTTTCTCCTTAAACACTGACTTAATAGGTGAAACTTACAGAGCCCTGGAGTTGGGGCAACATAACTGCGATATTGTGATTTATAATAAGAAATAGATATTTGGTCTTCGTCCTGTTTCTGGTCCAGAGCTCCTAAAATCCTTGGAATTTCCTAAGTGATGAGAGCATAAAGGTGTCTTTTGTTATGTTAATACCATGACTTTTGGAAAGCTCCTAAGGATGGGGGCTGGTTGCCAGTGGAACCAACTATGTGATTAGAAGGTTGGAACTTGCAGTCCCACCCCGCTGACCTCTGGGGAGGGGTGAGGGGCTGGAGACTGAATCAATCACCAATGGCCAATGAGTTAATCAATCATGCCTGTGTAATGAAGCCTCCATAAAAACCCAAAAGGACAGGTTCAGAGAGCTTCCAGGTTGTGAACCAGAACGCTTCCACATGCCTCTGTGCCGGACCCCAAACTCCACGGGGACAGAAGCTCCTTTGCTCGGGACTTCACCCCATGTATCTTCTTCATCTGACTGTTGATTCGTATCCTTTGATATCCTTTGTAATAAACCAGTAATCCAGTGAGGAAAGTGGTTTCCTGAGTTCTGTGAGTTGCTCTAGCAAATTAATCTAACCCAAGAAGGGGTCGTGGGAACCTCTGATTTACAGCTGATTGGTCAGAAGCACAGGAAATAACCCAGGCTTGCAACTGGCATCTGAAGTGGGGGGCAGTCTCGTGGGACTGAAACGTAACCTGTGGGATCTGATGCCATCTCCGGGTACAGAGTGTCAGAATTGAGTCGAATTGTAGGACACCCAGCTTGGTGTGGAGAAAAACACCCATACACTGGAATTGGGTGCAGAATCATAATAACAAAAAGAAATTCCTACTAAATCTGAAGTAGACCTGGGAGAAAAGTGTACTGGTACTCACAATAGAGAGCTTTTCTGTGGTAGTGTACCGGGCAAGGATTTCTCCTCGTTTGCTGGCCCAAGGCTCAAAATCAGATCCTACGATGGTGTTATCATCTCTGTCACGTTTCTTTCTGGAGCTGTCCTGAGGAAAGACAAGACAATCTCTTCAGTAGGATTATCATTTTCATCTTTAAAAAAATAGTATAAGCAAACATGGTGACTATAGTTGATAACATGGTACTGTATAACTGAAATCTGCTAAGAGAGTAGAAATTAAATGTTCTCACTAAAAAAGAAAGGTAAATATGTGAGGCAATGGATGTGTTAACTAACTTGATGGAAGAATCCTTTTCACAATGTGTACACATATCAAATCTTCACGTTGTACCCTTTAAATATATTACAATTTTATTTGTCAATTATACCTCGATAAAGCTAAAAAAAAAAAAAAAGTATAAGCAGAAGACAGATAGTCCCTCACTGCAGAATAACACAGGTCTGTCTAAAGGTTTGCTATGATAAAAAACTTTTCAGGCCAATTCACCACAAACAGCCAATAGATACATCCAAGGATGCTCAAACTCATTAAGAATCAAGGAAAGGCAAACTGAAAGAGATCATTTTCCAATAATCAGAATGGCAAAGTGTTAAAATGACTGATAATATCCAGGCTGGCAAGGATGCAGGCCCTCTAAAATACTGCTGGTGGGAGTGTGTATAAACTGGTGAAGCCTTTTTGGAGAACAGTTTGGCAGTAGCCATCATAAACTTAAACACACATTGCCTTAACCCAGTAATGAACTTCTAAGAAGTTATCCTGTAGAAATCCTTGCACATATGCACCAAGGTGTATGTATGGTCAAGGAACAATGCACCACAGTCTACACCAGTAAACACAAGGGACAGACTATGTGTCCATCAGTAGAGGAATGGCCAATCAAAGCAGGTAATGCCCATTCTTTAGGGCACAATGCAGCTGTTCAAAATAAGGTTGTTCTATAAGAACTAATATGGAAAGTTCTCTAAGACATATTGTCAAGTTAAAAAAAAAAGCATAAATAGGGGCTGGCCCCACGGCCGAGTGGTTCAAGTTCCGCGTGCTCCACTTCCATGGCCTGGATTCACGGGTTCGGATCTGGGCGTGGACCTACTCCACTCATCAGCCATGCTGTGGAGGCATCCCACATACAAAGTGGAGGAAGACCGGCACAGATGTTAGCTCAGGGCTAGTCTTTCTC